GGGCTGTACTATCAAGTTACACAAAAGACTTTGTCTTCGAAAAGGTGTGTTGGTACGTATTTAGATGTAACCTGTAACCCTCCTTAAGTAGGACAATATAAAAGTGAAGGGCACCAAACTGAAGCACTAGAGCGACATTACATCTCAAGACCATTTAATGTGTTAGGAAGTCAGCGTTTTTTCACACTTAAGTAAGAGACTGACTCACAGACTTGGAGGCTTTGCAGCAGCATCAGAAAGGAATTTATCTACCGGGTGATGACCGCTTACTTCTAACCCGCATAATCTTTATGGAAAACCTGTGTTTTCACTAGCTTGCATTTCTAACGACTCAAGAGGAAAATTGCTGGTTTCCTGGAAAAACTTGTGCTCTTCTTCAGGAAATGTTTCCCGGCACTGGGAAATTGGGTATGTTTAAAAAGAAAACGTGTATATTCTTGTAAAAATAATCCATGGCCTCGTGTGCTTTGGGTCTTCACTGTTTATGGTGATTTCTTCTTAGTCCTTCAAATGATGCTGAATATGTTCAGACCCCAGCATCCACGCACAAAGGCTGTGGACCATTTAGCTCCTGAACACTAAGGCCCCACCTTCAGGCACCACGAGCTCAGGCACAGTGGAGGAACCTGGAGTCCTCATGGTGAGGTGCTCACTGGTGACTGTGGTGACTGGTAACCCCCGGCCAGGGACAGAGGTGACTAGGAGTTGGCATCGTACACTGGCTGTCAATCAAGAGTAACCATTCACAGCAGGGCTTGAGGTGGGCTCTTAGGTTTCCAGACTCAGGGATGTAAAGGACAAAATACACTCCTGGGTGTATTTCCTGCGCATATTTCAAAGCAGCAATTTTGACATAGTAATAAAAAAGATAAATAAAAATAAAAGCCATCAACCTAAACTGTCATGTGACTGTAATTAAACAATGAAATCATTGGGCACTTATGAATACTTCTAATCCTACTACAGTCAGAAAGAGAGAGAGAAAGAGAAATGTATTGTCCACTCAGGGTAGTTAGTTTGTCCAGAAACAGTGGTTCACGTGACCCCATGTTAAGTAAATTCAGGTTCAATCTGGTGCATAACCTTAATGTGCATCATTGATTACTTCTTGTGTTTAAAATATCTCTCTCAAAAAATCACACATCCCTCAATGTTTTCTTACCATGTAGATGGTGTGTCCCATATTCTGAACACTGTATGAGCTATGAACAGATTAATTTCAAAATAGCCCTAGCCATAATTGAATTAAAATTATTCCATGAAAAACCTCTTGGGCAATTTCTCACACGAACCAGGCTAAAACTCAGTCCTACAGATTTTTAGATAGCCTTGATGCCTCTAAATTCAAGGCTATAAAAATAAAACGACACGCAGAATTCTTGGCTGAAATTGAGGAAAGGATTTGCCTCTGCTCCCCTTCGGAAGGAGCTGCCGGAAAATCAGGAGAATTCTAGCAGAACGACAAGGTTATGGGCACCAGGTCACGTCGGTGCCTATGCGGGAATAACCAAACCCCTTCTTAGGGCCCTCACTCAGAAGTTCGGTTCGCCGGTCTACGGACAAGTGCATGTCAGGAGTCCCAGGCTGCTCCGATCTGTCGAGGAAATGCGGTGTCTGTGAATGGGAAGAAACGCAAGCAGAACTAAGAGACTGCAGACACAAACGGACGCTGTTTCCCATCCCTGATCAACCAACACAGTCGTCGGCCATATGCACATTGGGAATGACGCTGCCCTGACCCGAGCAAGAAGCCGATCCGCTGCCACACACAGATTAGGATGCCCATGAAGTTGCCTTCTGTATCAGACTCTGGCGAGAACCGAACTTAAGTAAATACCATTCCACACCCCCTGTGGACCATTATTTCGGCATGAATGCAGAGTTTTTGTTTTGGGTTTATCTGCTGAGGTCCACGGTCGTCCGCATTGTTTTATCATCATTTTTCACAGTCTTGGCCCTGGTTCAATTCCAATTTAAGGACATCATTGAAATGCTGTCTCTTCTGGTAGCAGGCAAACACTCTAGGAATTTGATGCTTTCCAGAATAATCTGGGCTTGTTATATAAGTATAATCAAAGACACTTTTTCAGGACAGAACAAAAGAGATTAGGCTCGCTTCAGTTTAAACCGTCTCAAGAGAGTTCTCAGCTGTGGAGTTGTTAATGGCTTCAGTGCAAATAATGGAAATAGAAGCATGCATTTTTATTAGTCACCCAAGAAGCTTTTCGGTTTCAGGTTCTTCCTGCAGGGCTCAATTACCGTGGCTCTTCTTTTAACAACTTGGAGAATGTCTTGCCTGATTAGGAAGTTAGTCATTTCACATTTTGACATCTAAAACAATGTGGAGTCTAAAACGACCTCACAAATTATAAGTAACAGGATCCATCGCTCTAAAGATGAAAGCTCGAGGATCTGTGGCACCCGTCTTTGTTCGGGCTAATCCTATTTTACTTGTCGGGTGTGAGACATTGGGTAAATACGGGCAGTGAACTCAAACAACAAATGTTGATGATTAGTTCTCTAACTCAGTTATAAAAGCACTATCATTTTTTTGTGTGTGAGTAGACTTTGTACCCCGAAAGCCTCACCTTCCAGGCATGTTTGATATTTTTCTCCATCAGTGTTGTTCCAGCACATTCTCTTTGTCATTCGGTTTGAAACCTTGAAACAGTTTTAAACATGAAGTGTCCTGAAAAGGGGTAGAATCTGGGGAATGTCCTTCCAGCCCTCGGTTTCGGGGGAATGTTTATGCCTTCTTGTTTTAGCAGTGGCCTCCGTCTTGGTCACAGACGTCCCCTGAGGCTTTTCCTTTCCACTTATTTCATCCATTTAAGGGTAACATATCAGGAGCTTTGCTACTGAGAGATTAAAATAAATAGTTCGATGGAGCTTTCTCAAAGCTCCTGCATGGACCACTGCCTCCTTCCCTGGTTTCACTGGCATCTCTGTGACACAGGTGGTACCAAGGTCACCAAGCAGAGTTTCTTAGCAATGTGTCATACTTTTCTGTGTGTTCTGGAAATAAAATGGGGGTGGGGGGTGGAATGTTTATTTGTATGCACTGTAAAATAAGGGATAAAATTTGTCATGATAAAGCTTCCCCCAATCATATTTTAAAGTCATTCGGCCTATGAAATTTTCTTGTAGGATCTGCTGTAACATCACAACACTCACTGCTCGGTATCCAGTGTGACACTGAACACAGTCAGGTGATGCCCAAACACTACGACACAAGAACATCGTCTGCATTGTTATCAGTGTGTCACTCTAAAAATTAAATGGGGATGAATGTCAATACCGCGATTTTACTCATTCTATAGGGTCACTGCCCTAGTATTTCTTGAATACCAAGGTATTAGTTGATTCAATCTAGTCATAAAAGATAAAATCATTTTCCTCTTCATTCAGAATTATATTTCATATCAGTTCAGAGTATTTTTTTCATGTTATTTTATTCCACCATGTTCCCCCATGCTGGAAGAAAAGATAGGTGTCGTTCTCTATGGGTGTGCATATTTTGATTAAATTATTAGAATTTCACAGTAGTCATGGACAAAAGCAAGCTTTCTATCAGAGGTGGACTTCAACGGCCATACTGAAAGAAACTGAGGAGTGGTGACTAGGCCAGACACAGGAGGACAGGAGAAACCTTCTGAAAGGCAGACAGGACAAGAGCCCAGATGGCCAGAGACAAGGAAACAGGAAGCTCACTTGATGTCTTGGCAGAGAGTAAAGAAAAATGTATTTATCAGAAGTCTTTCTTGACAAATCATGACACATGGTTTCATGTCGGTGCTATCCCCACTCATCCATAAAGTTTATACGATTTTGTAAAATGATCAGACGTTAGAGTGCTCGTGCGCACACAGACTCTGCGCGCTGCTGGGCGAGCTCGCCTTCATCTGACAGCAGGCCCGGCCCAGGAGCCCGGGCAGGCGGCTGGGGTTGAACGTCTTCAGCTCGTGCTCTTCCAAGATCTGCTTCCTGGGGGAGCGTGGCCTTCTCTTTGGTCTCAGAGCTGGGGAGGTCAGAAACTCTGAAAACGGGCTAAGACCGTGTGCCAGAGAGGGAACTATGTCATCTCACACATCATAAAATAATACGCACCATTAAGAAAACTGTTTTCTACAGCAGGCACCACTCCGCCGACCATTTCTCGTGAATTAATCTCCACTGTTATACATCAAACGCTCTGTTGGGGGAAACCACGGGATCTGATGCTGAAACAGAAGTGGGTTTTATAGTGACCCTTTATTTCCTGCATCTTTTTTTAAAGACTTTATTTACTTATTTTTAGAGAGGGAAGGGAGGGAGATAGAGACAGAGAGAGAGAGAAACATCAATGTGTGGTTGCTGGGGGCTGTGGCCTGCAACCCAGGCATGTGGCCTGTCTGGGAATCGAACCTGCCATACTTTGGTTCGCAGCCTGTGCTCAATCCACTGAGCTATGCCAGTCAGGGCTATTTCCTGCATCTTAAAAGTAGATGAATCTTACCTTCCTTGACTATTTGTTCAACGTATATATATTAAATACATTAAATATGCCCTGATAATACATGAGCCCAGTAATAAATTGAATATAATAGGTTGAATAGTGTATGGTAATGACTTCCTAGGTATGTTTTAAAATTCTGAAAAATGACACTTAACAACTAATGGTCTTTTCGGGCTTAAAAAACAAAGCCTGTGAGTATAAATGTTTATAAAAGAAACTGAATTTTTAAAACAAGAACATCTCTCCATTTTCATCCACTAAAGGTCACCATTAAATAAAAACTTAAGTTCATGGTTATAATCATAGGACCAATAATAACTGAAGTTTAACTTCCACAGAATTCTAAATTCTGCTCAACTTATTAAACCCTGATTTAAATAAGACTAATGATAATGTGATAATAACTCACAGGTACACCAAAGACAAAACAGAAACCAACCCTACTTTCATGCTATTTTGTTCCACATGCTAGCGAACAAATTAATACATCGTTTTTTCCCTACAGGAAAACTGAAGACTTTACTAACAAACCCTCCAAGGTCAAAATGAACACAGGTACGCCCTCTCTGTCAGTTTTCAACCTTCCAGCCTTGCTCTCTAAAAGTCATCGTGGCCCTAAATCATTAGTTGAGCCCTCTGCTGATCGTAAATGCGATACTGAGTTTCTGATTGGATGGATAGTGAAAATTCATCACTCAACTCTTTGTCTTTGTGCTTCTACCTCTTAGAAATCAAAAGTAGAATTTATGGCTTCATCTACTCTTACTCCCTTTTTCTGTAAATCACATCATGAAATCTATTCCCACATACCCTAGGAAGTGGGCGTATGTCATTTGCATGCGTACATTTGAAACCCCCCTTAGAGTAGGCTGAATTCAAAGGCAAGGTGCTCTAGCAGAAAATATTTAGCTTTCCATTCTATCAACTCTGTATGTGGACAGTCAGCAGAGAGTGCCAGAGATTCACACGAAAGCAACTTCATCCATAGGCACACTACACCTAAAGTCATAAGCATTAACGGTTTTAGAGGTGAGAGCAGTATCTTCAATTAGTTTAACAACATGGGTGCCTCTGAACTCTGCGTTTCCTGTCTCGAAGCAACCGCTAGAAAGTTTGCTGTGTCTTGTTGTCAAAGTGCCTCACGGGAGGATTAGCAGCCGCTGGTGAGAACCAGTATCTAATCCCTAGACCAGGTGTAGCCACGTGCCCCGCTGCCCATGATTCTGTGGCTGCCCTTGGCAGAGACCTGCTCTGACTGACCTCTGAACTCTAGGCCAGCTGGCCCCTGAGACTGTAGTCAACCACAGATGCATAGGGCAACAGGTGAAACAGGGTACTGGAGACAGTCAAAATACACAAGGAAGACCCAGAAATGAAGAGAAATTATAACCCTAGAAATGTAAGGGCATTTGGACAATCAGAGGAGTGGGAACCGGACATGGAAAATGAGAGAAGAAATAATATTAGATAAAGGAGATTGAAGAAAGTAAACAGAATAGACTAAGCTGCACTAGGGTAAGTCATGCGAAACTGCAGTCACTCCAGCAGCGAATGGCCGTCCACATGAGGAGGTTATATTTCCACAGCTAATAATAACTGTGGGAAGTGGCAGGATTTGCACAGTTGTTCTGAGGCATCTTCTCACAGGCTTAAGTTGCCTGAAGACATCACTTCCTAATACCCTTCACTTCGTGCTTATTTTCCTATTTATTATAACCCCATTATAACAGAGGTACAGCATGTGATTGTACTAAAGATACCATATTCATGTACAATGCATTCAATCATTAATCTTCCTAGTCCTAGAATTCAGTCCCTAATGGCAAAGTAGGCAAATAGAAATTCATATATTTGTTTATGTCTCTGGGGTACTTGAGCCGAGTTACTGCTGTAGCAGCATGAATGTTACCCCCTAAGCATCCTCCCATTTAAAAAGAAGGAGTGTGTCTCTACGTAGAATGCTAATGTGCACAGTTAGTTTGTTTGTATGGGTGAGCCTACATATACATATGCATGTAAAACATGATATTTAAACTTACACATATAAAACTGGTAGGAAGTGATGAACCCTTAGTTTAAGATTTCAAACTAACACTATGGTGTTGCTTAAAAACATACCACTTTTAAAAAACATGTGTGAACAGTGCGGCAGGAAGGTGTAAAAAGCACTGTTGCTGTTTGTACAGAACAAAGTAAAAATCAGTAAGTACTTAAATATCTAACAGACAAAGTTAGTCTTCATTATCTACCTGCCAATCATTAAACATGCATATATTCCTATTTAAATATCTATGTGTCTGTCACCGAGGTTAAAAAAAGATTATCTTAAAGCAAATCAGCTCTTTGTTTTTTGTCAGATACATAATAAATGAGCCAAAGGAAATGTATTCATTTTCACACTAAAGGATCTGAAATATGTATAAAAACACAGGGTCCAGCACAAATAATGCCCTTTTTAATTACAAAATTGTAAGTATGTCATTTCCACAATATAACAATATCACACTCAAGCACACCACGTGATATTTTAGGTGAAATGTTCAACTTGAAACTATGAATTATTACACCCATATTATTGACCCTATCAGCCACACTCATGAGGCATTACTTCTGCCACACCCTGTGCCTATAAAACACGGCGTATTTCCACTCTAACAATTTGTGAGCCATTACTCTCTAAGGCAAGTCTTAGCTGTAGAAGAACAGAAAGAGAGAAAGACGTGAAATAATTCACTGTCGGTGACGGGCCCACACGAGTGTTTTCAGCCATGGAAACGGCTTCCAAGAGTCTCAGGAGGAAGAGGGTGCCGGTCGTCCATGCCTGCAACCCCGCCGGGCATCAGTGAGTGAGGGTGAGAGCAGCATCAGGGTTGTTCAGAATGACCTAAAGTATGCAAGACAGCATCCTCATTCTGAGGTCTTAAAAATGTCTCCAGGAAATCACGGCACGTATCAACGCACACACGTTAAGTAGAAACAGAATATAATAGATTTCTCTGTTCCAGCAATTTCACAAATGCCTCAACGTGTCAAATTAAGCTCTTTAGGAAACTGTTAATGAAGACAGATCCTCCATTGATGTCGCCCAGGTCTCAGAGTTACTTAGAATGCAGAAACGATTTCACCCAGGGGCCCCCACACTCTCTTGGATTACAGCGCCAAGATGTCTCAGCCACGTGTCCCGCACTCTCAAGCCAAAAGAAATATCTAGCAGTGGCATTTACCAAGTAGCTAGGTGCAAACAACTTAATAAGTACTAATGTTCTGTCAACTCAGAAGCAATCTGGAAAAATAACATACTTAAACTGAAAAAATAACCACTTTATTTTATTCTTTATGACCACAGTTGTTAGTGGGATGTGCGTGCTTATTGGGCACTGCAGAGCCCGCAGCCCTTGGAGTTAGATTACCCATCACCCCTCCCATTCACTGGTCCAAAACTACTGCTGTAGGGTACCTGCCTTTTGTCACAGCCCATCACCCAAAACCCAGCCTCTCAAAGACATGGCATCATCTAAAGAAAGATAGCACCATCTTTACTATGTTGAGACTGGGAACCACCTCAGGCTAGCAGTTCCTGCAGTACCTGGTAGACATCACTGAGTTTTCCTCAAACATGTAAAACACCCCCTCAAAACCCTCAGGAATCAGCTGAGGTAGTGGGGGGGGGGCACCTGAGTGCAGTTTGGGAGCCATGGGTTCCACCAGTGACCCCGACCTCCTCCCCCTCCTGCAATCCTCCCTTCCCATCTCTCTCACCGCTTGTTGGATGCTCAGAATGAACGGAACTGAAAAATAAAACCTCTGCCAGAGCCTTCAGTTCACACTTCCAACACCCTTGACCACACAACCGTCGGAGAGACCACCGTAGCTGTCACACGCTGCAGAGGCGATAGCGACATTCCCTCCATTCGATCAGAAACACTCACTGCTCGTAGCTTCCTTCCGTTCGCAGAGCTCGCTAAGTCCTGCCAGTGCCTCTCTTAAAGACTCTGTAGTCGTGCGTTTCCACCATGCTGTGTCTTTCTGTGTTTGTTCTTGGATGATAGTCTTGATTGGACTTTCTTTTGTGGCTGCAAGTCATTTTTCTGTTTTAATTATTATCTGTGTTAGAAAGTTGTTATCTTAAACATGTTTAAGAAATTATATTTTGACATGAGAACCGTTCTACCAATTTTAAGGTCTACTGACCTTACTACTTGTGATTTTATCAAAAATTAATAGAGTAAGTTCCCTCGTGTCCAATAAAAAAGTGGATACTATTCCTCAAGAAATAAAGAAAAAGTATAAATATCTAATCACTATGTTATACTCGTGAAACTAATATATTTATATCAACTGAAATTGAAAAATAAAAAATATATAAAAAAGAAATAAAGAAAAGGAAAAATTAGAACAGCATGTGGCAATATATAATGATTATGTTATCATATTGGTGGTTACATTATTTGGCTCTCTTGTTATAACTTTCAAAAAGAATTAAATTAAAGTTTATTTTGGTCTCAAGAGAATGAGAAAAACTATTTATTGCACATTCCATATGCAACGGAATGTGGGAATGGAATTGGAATCTGTTCATAAATAGAACATTAACCTTCCAATTGTAGAAGTCTTGTAACTCTAAACCTATATCACATTATAATAGTGGGTACATTTTCACTTACTTTGCTTCATGCTGTGGTTTGCATACATGTCAATATACAGATCATCATCTACATGTTGAAAAGCATAAGAACAAATTAATTTTTTTAAATGATCATTTGAATACTGTATAAATATATATCAATATTATCTGTGATTTCAATTAGGCTAATTATTTCCCCAACTAGTAACAATGTGGGAAGACATACAATTTCCATAATGCTATATGTTTCTTTATGAGTCTTGTATATCAACTATATTATGCTTACCTCATTTAATAACTTCAAGAGGTCCTGAAAAACTATCTTCAGGAATCATAATAGCTCAACTACAGTAAAGCTGAATGATGGATACAGAAGTATATTATACCATGGCTCTCAACCCTGAGGTGGAGGTTCTCCAGAACTCTAGAAGCTAGTTACACTGCTTATAAATTTAATGGTTGAATTTAAACGGTATACACAAAGTTGAGTTTTATACTTGTGTTTCATTAAAGAAAAACCATAAAATGTTAAGTAAATCTGATTTTTTTTTTTACTAAGGCATTGGCATTTATTTCTAAAGCAGACCGCTGCTTTTTGCTTTGGGTCGGTTTTGTTCGCTGTAGTGCGGGGGTCGGGGGGGGGGTGTTGTAAAATCTGCGGATGGATTCCGCGGTGGCTAATTCTGAGCGTTCATCTTCCTCATGGACGTCTGGCACATTCCACGCAAAATGCATGATGCTGCATGTGCTTTCTCCTTTGCTGTGGCCTCTGCTATGTCATTTTTTTTTGCTTCCAGATAGCGGTGGGTGTGCTCGCAAACGTGCCGCCATGTCTGTCACATTAACATCCGTGAAGAGGGTTCAGAGTTCTCCAAACCTGTTGGCCGCAGGTATAATAACACCACTAACTCCCCGAGGGTCGCCCGCGAATGGCTTCACCTGACCTTTCTCTCTTTCCAGAATTATCTTGTTTGGATGAAGAAAGTGACTTGAAATACCTTTTTAATGTCTCAACAAGTTCTTGTTTTTCTGGTCCCAAAGAATAGCTCCTATCCCTTCTGTGTTTGTTCTAAAAAATTTTTTTAAAAAAGCTAAAGGAAACTGATATCTTGTAGAAAACATTTTTAAAATCTAAGAAAAAACACCGGTCACTTGCCAAAATGTGTGGAGTAACTGCAGGTGTTAATAACTATTTCAGTTTTTGTCTCTTATGAACTGAAGTTACATAACATTTCATCAAGATAACTCATAGGTGCTTTTGTTATTTTTTAAGCTAAAAACTGTTGCGGGGTAGGGACAAAGGGCATCAGAAAGAGGGATTTGTACGAAACTGAGTATTTATTAATTTGCTTCTTCACCAAAGGCTGCAAGCAGGATGGTAGATTATTTGTTTTGAAAGAGACCTTAAGCCTCTTTTTAGTTTAGTCGATGAAGATCTTTCTAATACAGATTTTTAAACATTTGGGCACAATTAAGATTAACGTGATACCGCAGGTAGAAATATACTCTGGGAAGTAAGCAGGAATGCGCTATTTCAGCGTCTCCTCAGGTGGGTATTTCTATAATAACATCTGCCGTGACTTACCTGCGCTGTAGACACGGCCTCTCCAAGAGGGAGAGCTGCCACGGAAGGTCAACGTGAGCCTGGCGACCCCAGGGACGCTGGACCCAGAGACACACCTACCCCTTTTGGTGACTGATTGACTGGTTTAGATCGTCAGTTGGTTATTTGGCCATTCCTTGTTTTTATTTCTATTTGTGGAGTTTGGGAGCAGAAGTGGAAAAGGCACAGAGAGGGTTTAAATAATTGCAGTTCTCACTGTGCATGCCATTGTCTTTTGCGCACGTACGTTTAGGAGTTAGTTGAATGCCCAAGGCATCCTTGGTTTTCAAGGCCCTTGATCCTAAACTCCCCAGCTTTGTTGAGGAAAAACAAGCTTCCACTCCTGCCCACCACCTCCAATCCACAAGTGGATTTCAATGTCCAGGTTCAATACCAGGCCAGGTGGTTACGAAAGTTTTTTTTAAATGTTAGTTCATTGCAATGTATGTAGTACAATTTCAGTTTGGTTTAAGAATCTTCATATATATATGAAGATATTATATATATATAATTTGTACATATTTGCTCATGTGTATATGAGGATGAGACGATGTTAGAGAAAGTACAAATGAAATGGAAAGTACATGGAATACCTGAGGGAGATGAGAATAAAGGGAAATAAGAAAATAAATAAAGTCCAGAACCATCAGATACTCGAAATGCCTACACCATGAATATCACTGACATTTCAACCAAGTAAAATTGTAGCCCAGACCACCCAGATGTGGGCCACTGGCTGACGCACCCACTGGGCAATGTGGCGCTGATTCAGCAGTGCCAAACTCTTATTTATAAAGGCAACCACAATAATCGTGGTTGAATTAGACATGGGCATTGAGGAGAGCCAACACTAGAACATCAGCAACTTCACATCACTAAACATGAAACACTTAATGCTTCAGAATCTAAACAACAGAAAACATTGGGTACTTGAGGAATAAGAAATGATCTTCAGGAATAAGTATGTAGTGGCCATGGACCATGTCAAATTTTATATCATTAGGAGTGAGGTTCCAGAGAGCGAAGTCATCTGAATTTTGCACTCAATGGTTACATTAAAAATAGATCTCTTTTCTATTAAGACACGTAGGTATAATTCTTGTTAATGTTTTTACTACATTTTGAAGAAAGAAATCGCCCTCTCTTTATGCCCCTCACATTATTTGTATTCTTTATGAGAACTTAGTTGTGAATCACACGGGGATGAATGAGTATTTACTGCATTAGATAATGCCGAAACAGCAGAGCCTGTAGGTGAAAGGCCACCGCCACGGAAGGTTCTAGGGCTCCCGCTCTCACCTCGCAGGTGCAAAGTCCATGTAAGCTGCTAGTCATCACCTCTTTGTCCCTAAATCAGTCTTTCTCTTTCCTCTCACAAGAAGCAATCCCCCTGGATAATCCGTACACCCTGACGTTCTAAGTCTAAGCTAGAACCAAAACAATGAGTACAGAGACACAGTAAGCCTTTCCGAAGTCTGTTTTCTTTTACCAAAACCACCTGGCAGTCTAACCCGCTGCTAAGGCCGGTTTGCTGCGGCGACCGGGCCGCTGGGCCAGGAAACACCACCTGCGAGCTTCACACCCTCAGAGAAATCCGTCTGCCTGTAACTGCAGTTTCCTTTCCCCCAAAATAGACTTGGTCATGTTCCTATCTCTCTGAGAACTTAGTTGCTTCCTAGACTCCCAAAGATTTGACAAAATTAGATGGAGGGTAAATGAACAAAATAAGAGGCTTACCACAGTCCTTAGAAACACTGCAGGCATTCAGTTAGTTACCTCGAATTTAATTAATCTGTTTAAATTAATTCTTACAGAGTAACGAGACCCCCTAAAGCAGGGGTGCCCAGCCCACGGCCCGCAGGCCCCATGCAGCCCAGGATAGCTGTGAATGCGGCCCAACACAAAATCGTAAATTCACTTCAAACATGATGCGATTTGTGTGTGTGTGATTACGTGTCACAGTGTATTTACTGTGCGGCCCAAGACAACTCCTCTTCTTCTAGTGTGACACAGAGATGCTAAAAGGTCAGACACCCCTGCTCTAAAGGAAGGGGCTATAAGAATTAAAATCATCATAACTTGCAAGCATAGTTCACAATGTCTGACATAGCACATCAGTTAAAAGGAATTCAGATGTTGGATCACAAAGTCGGGAAGGACCTCTGAGGGCCTCCGGTCCGGTCCCCGACCCCGAGACCCAAGTGAACCTGGACAGCCCTTCCAACAGGGGTCCTCACCCCGCTTCTGGCTGGACACAGGGGTTGCACTCTGTACCAGTGAGAGAAGGTGATAGTTCCTAATCTTCAAAGACCATATTCACATTCGCATGCAAAACAAAAGCCCGGAACAATAAATCTGCCCCATTGACCCATTCTGAGTTGTTCAGGCGCGCAATGACCATCTCCTGAAGCACACTAGAACTGCGGGGCTCTGATCCCTAGAATCCTCGCTGTGTTTTCACGGTGAGTGATCACAAATAATATTCACGACAGCGGACAAACCCACGTTCCCCACGCACCTGCCAAGTCGTTTACCTGCTCAGATTTTTTTTCAAACCCGTATTCTCTCCACTTGGCCCGGGTCCAGGCGGTCCCCGGCACTCCCCACACCTGCCCCCCGTCTCTCCAGCTCTCCTGGCAGGGAGGACGGGCCAGCAGGGCCGAGGTCAGCAGCATCCATGCGGAAGGGATTTATCTTTCAGGCTCTAAAAAACTGAGTGTTTCAAATATTATCACTGGATTTCTCTTAAAGAAAGACGCAATGTTGGACACTCGAGTGTCTGGAAGAGACCGCCCTCCCAGGTGTGGACTTTAATCACTCACACAAACTTCATTAAAATATGGGTTCGAATCCTATGACGTTCGAATCCTTGGCCATTTTTATTCCTTTCTCCTTTCTGGTAATTCTGCACATTCATGTCTATGACATTAAGCAGGACTTTTCAGCGGGGCTCGCCGTGATGAACATCTCACATCTCCCATAGCACAGGGACAGTTTCATTTGGAACCCAGCATGGCGGGAGGGCAGGACCCCCCCATTGGGCTTAGAATGACTGACCGCTGATTCTCACACTTAATGCTTATCCCACTCAGGGTTCCAAAATCTTTGGTGTGATCACCAGTAAGAAACAGAACCGGCCCCTAAGGACTATCCATTAGAGGAAGCTCATTTCAAAGTGTCCTTCGAATCTTCTCAATGTGCCTTCCTCCTCCTCACCACAACTGCACCTCTGGAACCCCCAAGCCTCGGGGTCCTGCACCCTCCGTCCCCAGTACAGACCACACAGCCTTCAGTGCGAGAGCTCAAGTTTTATCAAACCAGAGTGAAATGAGATCCCTATTCTCGTGCAAGTAATTACAGTACAAATAATAATTATTACTGTTGATGCTGCTTCTCTTCTCATTGCCATTTCCCCAAGTCCCCAGACTTGTACGTGGTACCTCGGAGGTGAGTAATTCTCCCTCCCTGATGCCCCACAGCAAGCTCCAGGCACCGCCCCCCGGGTCGCACAGCGCCTTCTCCACAGAGTCCTCGTTAGCTTTGAAGTGACTGAGAATTTCAGTCACTTCTGCTTCCACCAAATCCTAGAAATAGAGCCTCGTAAACATTTCCACACAACTCTTCAGGGTTATTTTCACTTAACGGTACCCATTTCACTGCTCTGACTTTGAATGCACTGGAGTTGCGATCCACACTAAATTAGCAGTTATCGTAGAACATGAAGATAGGTTACTCTTCTCTAACTCGTTTGAGCCAGAGTCATTCTGGTGTACTCTGGGCTGATTCACATTTATTTTTCTTCCTCTGATTTGGGGAGAAACTACATCAAATCTCTGATCTAAATTCAAATTTTTGCACTTCTCAACTGATTTTTATCATGGCAAATTCACATGTTTACATTCCAAACCAACCATTCCTCCAGCATTAAGAAGAACACAGAGTCCTTTTTACATGTTCACGTAACATTTGTGTTCTGTTAGCATTGAAACAGTGGCGATTTAAGGATGGTCTCAGGCACATCTAGAAGGAGTCCAGGACCAGGACAGAGGTGGGGCTGCATGACCCCTAACGTCCTTTCCAAATCAAGGTTTTATGATTCTGGGTGAAGTCGGCCAAAATGGTATAATAGAACCAAGCAATATAAATCAAGTACCTCAAATGTGCAGAAGTGATAGAAGACTCTTGAAAGTGTAAGTCCAATAAAACTGATAGCAAACGTACCCGTGAGCTACTTTCTTACTGCATTGTCAAAAGCAATCTCTCAGTACTGAAATCTGTTTCCCCCAGCTTGGTGCAGGACAATGGAATGTGCCATTAACAGCTACTTCATATCTGAATATGAAAGGACTTTCAATGGCAATAAGAAAACAGTTCAAAGTCTAGAGAACGTTTTCAAATATCACATACTATGGTAGACACATTTATACTTTCTTCACATTAAAAAAAATACAGACAACCAAAAAATGGATTGCTATCTAACACAGGAGCTGAGTATGGTAACACCAGGACATCAAAAGCTAAGGATCAGAGGTCTGATTTAAAGCTGCGAGAAACACTTCTGTATAGACCAGATACCTTTGGATGCTTTAATTTGATATTTAGAAATACCTACATTTAGCTTGGGCAGTAATAAGTTAAAATTACATGGTTACAATAATATTGGAGGGAAAATCAGTATTTGACATACGTGTTAATTATATATAATAGTTACATAATGAATAATATTCTAATTGAAGTAAAAAATAAATGCACAACCTTCTCATTGGCATATTTTACAGACCCAGGATTTTAGAACTGAGATAATGTTGCCAAAAAAAAAAATGCATGTAGTTCTTTGGCAAGTGAGCTCTTCTTGAGTGTTCATTTCCTTTACCCGCATATTAATTTCAACATTTCTTTTTCTTTTTTAGGGCGCGATTCTCAGTCACCAGACGCAGGTACAAAAAAAAAGCTATTCTGAATAACCATGCTATTTGTTGTGAGCTGTTTTTTTTAACATATTCATAACCACATTGTTAACTTCACAGTAAAGCTCAATTGCATTTACTATTATGCATACTAAATTAAATTACATTTCCAAAGAAAACTTCATATTTATTTTTATTTCAAACAATGTTAAACGTGAATGCAGATATTTTTGTGTCCAATTTGTGTCCCCCCGACCAAAGCTTGGAGATCTTACAATGCTCAAAGTCGCGAGACACTGAACGGAGACGCTCGATATTCCTCTCTTGCAGCAAAAGGCTTTAGAAGCGTCCGGCCAAATCTACAGGAAAAAAGATCGCCAACTCAGGTATTCCTCCTGCGCACTCCCGTCTGCCGTGTTCTGTGAAAGCAGGACTGTTAGACCACCGCTTTCCTGTCTCTTCTCTAGTAATATGTGCATATTCCGATACATGTTTTATTTGAGTGCGTTTTTGCTGTTGTGTCTGTATTGCTTGTCAGACTTGTCTGGATAACATGGAAGACAAGTCTTAAGTTCAAAACAGGTTCTTTGTTTCTCCTGATCCAGCTGATAAGAGCAGGTTAGTTTCTAACATAAGGCTTAGGGTATCTTCTGATTCTTAAAACGTTTTCAGCGTGTGCTTTAGACCTCACAGCTGTGAGGTCAGCAACACATTATATACTTAATAAATGTGAGTGATGCAACTGTTTATTATGTTAACTAAAGGGATTCTGTGTTGGGGATGTTAGCCAAATTGTGCTGCAGCATGAAAAGTGTTATTGATACAAGTAATGAAGTTATATATCTATCATATATAAAATAGATATTTTATATATACTATATATATTCTTCAAAGCCTAAAAATAGGCAAGAGAGCATATGTTCACTTTTAACATAATTCCCCAGGATGTAGACTGAGACAAACTTTATACTGTGTTCTCTATAAAAAGTATCTTCCCCTAGAGGGCAGCTTTTGATCATAAAATAAAACACCTTCTAAATGGAATAAAACTGATCCATCTAGCCAACAAAATGTATGGCATCTAAGGAGACATGACTTTGCTTTACTCTCTTTAAGGACAGAGTTGCCACTGGTTTCTTTAATGACTAACTTTGACTTTCTCTCTGTTTTTCCTTCAACGTCCTTTCTTTCTCCGATGCTTCTGGCAACCCAGGTACCTCTCCCACCACCCAGACAAGAGGGCTGTGGTAGCTCCTTGATAACCAGCCCCACCAACGGTGACATTTTAGACCACTTAGTAACAAACACACAAGTCCCCTCCTCTACAGAGTACTTCACTAATAAAAAACCTCCCCAGGGAATTATGTATTCCAACGACGACGACGCCGGCCAGACAATCGTATATTCCGAAGAATCTAACACAACTGTGTCGTACACACAGAAAATCACTAATCTGCTCCCACCAGCTTCCAGCACAAGCCCCCCACCCGATGCTGACACGAGGACCCCATTCCTACGAGAGGCCTACACGCAAGATTCTCAGACTCGGAAAATCTCCACGCTGAAACTGATCCATAACCAGGACCTAGGAAGCAGCATCCCCTTCCCGACCCCACAGTTTTCCAAATCTGTTGCCGAACCACGGCTTCTCAAAAGGCCTTGCTCACCGCCCCCTACCCCAGTGCCGGAGAAACACACAGCATCTCTTTCCATTCAGATAGCTCCCCCATCAGGACAGGGACCCGAAAGCCACAGACAGCCACCTGAGCTTTCTCCAGAGACGGCAAAGATACCTCTCCAGCCAGAGAGACAAAAGTCTGCAGTTGCTGCGACCTCTCAGTCCTCAGACTGCCGGGTGATGCATTACACTTTGCAATCCCTCCTCACAGGTGTCCTGGCGAGACCCTAACCCCTTTGCTCTGGCGTCTTGTGTAACCTACTGCTTTGTCCGTGCCCGACCAGGAAGGGAAAGGAGAAAGAAACCGTCTTCCTATTTGGAACCCTGTTCATTCACCACTAAATGTCCAGGGTTCTTTTAGCTTAAAAAATATAAGTGTACAGATCTTTTATCCAGAAATTATGTTCTAAAAATTTCTTCCTTCTAGGTATTTATTTAAAATCATCAATGGCCAGTTACCACTTAAGATTCTGCAAAACCTTTAGGTGCTGAAAGTACTTCAAGTGCTAAAGAACTGAGTTCCGTGCCAGACCTTTTAGAACCTAGATTTACTTCATTTGCATGCATAAAATCTCTTAAATATTCACTCGCCTGATTCAGATGCCACACGCCATCAAGATACCCAAATCCGTGTGACCGTTTTAGATCACCTGTCACCCAGGTCTTGGGCAGAGACTATAAGGCTGTTCAGACCTCTGGGAAAAGGGTTTTATCATGAGGTTATGGGCCAGTCTTATATCATGACAGGTGGGCAGGCGGTGCAGCCAGACTGTAGGGGAACCGGAGAAGGACGTTAGCTACTCTCTCTTCCTCCATCTGCGGGTCCCGCCTGCTCTGTGAGCTGACCTCACGCTCATCTCCTAGCTTCTGCTGCCCGTGAATTTCCACGGCATTCTCTGCCTCCAACTCTGTGTCTGTCACCTCGCCTCTGGGAGTGCGGGGCGTAAAGCTACCTGGCTGGGGCCTTCAGTGTTCCGTAATTCAAAGTCCCAGGCAGGAGGCAGCACCTCACTGGCCCAGTTCAGTCCATTCATGCCCCCTCCCAATCACTCAGTGGGGGCCCGTGGAAGGGAGTCACCCGGTACCCACGGGGTGGCCAGACCTCGCCACCTCCCCTCAAAAGGGGCTGTCACAGATGAGGCGGGGTGGGAGGTCATGATTTTTCACAAAAAATTCTTAAATTGTTTATTTTAAAATTACCATGGAGATTTAAAATCTTAAAAACGATAGAAATAGTTTTGTAATAATACCCACTATAAGTATCCATCACAAGACTTCAGCAATTTTTATTATTTTGTCATTTGTTTTCAACTGGCAACTCCAGTTATGCTAGTAGTAAAGTCAATGTTAGATCCTTAAGTTTCTCAAAATTTTAATGCCTATATTTAATGGGTGAAGAGAAAAAAATAATGAAAATACCATTATGACACCTAATTAAATAAAAGTGATTTCTTCATATAAAGGTTGATTTTTTATATCACTCCCTCCTAGGCATTTTCTTAAGTATATTACTGTCAGCTTTACTGAAAAAAAGAACAAAACCTGGCAAGTCCCTTTGCCAGGGTGTAACACACTCTGTCTGTTCCTTGGGAAGCCAGGCCTGCAGGCTCCCCATCAAGGAGGTCGGAAGGCGGGTGTTAAGATCCCAGAACTCGGCGCCACATTAAGCCGGTTGGAACCTGAGACAGAAAGAAAAACGTGTCCCCCATATATGCGTGTGTGTTTATGCATTGTTCATCTTTTCCTAGAACATTTCAGTAGTTTAAAAAATACTGAAAAGCTGAAAAGTAGGCGTATTAAAACTGAACATTCTTTTCAGTGTATATACTTTATTTATACCAAAAACAGAACTATTCTCATTGTACTTCATCTTATATTAGTTAAAAGTGGTTTGAGATCATCATTGGTCAAGGAGAAATGATCGAACATGGCTGTTCTCTCCGCTGAAAATAAGATCGATCAGGCAAACGCAGAATTTGAAAATATTACTTTATTATAATATAATTGTTTCCATTAAAAATCCAGGATACGATTTTTTCCTTTTCCTCAGTCTCCAGTATGGCTTGATATGGACCTGGTCATTATTTAAATTTTTGAGATTTTGTTCAATGTGAATTTTTTCAGCACTGACTTTTGTTTTTCATTTTTACGATTGCATGACAATAGTACTTCTCTCACTGAGTTTTGGTCCCTCCATTAAATTTTGCACCTAAAGTAACTGCCTCCCTCACCTCATCCTCCTTTATAGCTCCTGAATCAACAAAGTTATAACGACAGACATGTTTTGTTTGCTTCCATGGACTCAATTTTACTTTTAATCTCACCACCTTAGGGAGGGCCGTGCTTTCTCCTTTCGACCTCCGCTCCTCCCAGCCGCTCCACCTGACTCCCGGCCCGCGCAATCCGGACACACCCCTGGCCCAGGGCAGGCGCTGGAGTCTGCCATGCCTGCCTCCCTCCAACCCAAAATACATTTTCCACTAGCCCCTCCTGAGTCCCCTGGCCCCCTCACTCCTCAAGGGATTGCACCTAACTGTAGTGACCCCTTTCCCCCGCAGGTGCCCCTTAGCACTCAGGATTGAATTCATCTGGCCTATGCGGCTCAGTGCTGTTCTGAATAACCAGGCGCTCTTTCTTAGAACACTCACGTGTGGAGGGTTAAGCACGGCCCCTCTCCTTGGTGGAAAGGGACAGCAGCAAACTGGCGCTTCCAGCCCTTCCCTCCCTTACAGCTCGACAGCGAAAAGGACCTCACACCTGCCGAAAGTTGGTGACGCTTGGCTTATATTCAAATGCCTTGACCTTGCATGGTCTTGCAAAGACGGAGACTCAGACAACTGGGATGACTTTGTGCAGTCTTCTGTCTGCTCACAATTCAGTGGGGAAGGCACACACACACACACACACACACACACACACACACACACCTCTGTTCCCCTTTCAAATTTGGTTTTGCTACTTCAAGCTAAAACATTCCAGACTGAGAAACAGTCCAGACTGAGAAAATGTTTCCTTCTTCCCTTCTCACACTTCCCTCTGTCCCCCTACTCATCTCGCATTGTCCTCAGGGAAATACACACACTGTGGTTCTCTCTCTCCCTGTGTCTACAGGGGTATTTCTGTAATGTGGACTTCAGGGTTCTATGAAAGGGGCCCCAACTAATCTCAGAGGTGATTGACATCTTTATCCCAAAATAGTTCAAAGCTTTTGTGTGGGTGACCAATAGACTTGAACTTTTGAGTTTTATCTAAAGAAGTTTAAGTGCGGTATGATTCACCTGGAAGGATTTTATCGGACACACACACACACACACACACACTAAAAAAACTCAAACTTGTGAGCAAGCGTATTTTTGAATTTTTGAGAAATTCAAAAAGTGAAATAGTTCTGTCTTCTGTAGACAGTGTCTCTTTGAAAGAACAAATAACTGGATCCAGACCATTCCTGGACACAAGGCTGTACAAACTGACCATATTACCCACAACAATAATGGTTTTAAGTAGCAATATGCCTTAGCTTTTAACTTGTTTCTAGTTCAAAGCATATGAGCAAGCCAATCCTACAAAAATTATAATCATTAGATTTTCCCTTTTACTTTTAAAGGGAAAACTTCTTTGAGAAGATAACTCAAGTCCTTTTGCATGATTTCTATTGAACAGAATTTTCACTTAGTCGAAGCAAAACTAAAGAGCTTCATGTTCTATGAAAACCGCTCTGGTGAAACCGCATTATTATGAGACATTCCACTGGCATGGTCCTGCCCAAGGCCGCCCTGTGCATTCAGACCTGTAGCAAAATTCTAACCCACTAACTTGTAATTGTTACAGCTCCATGCTACTATCACTTTACTTGCAATAAAATCCGCAATTATTATAAAAACTTACTAATAACAAAGATGTAGTCTTATAAAAATATTTTAAGTTCTAGAGATTTTAAAACTGTGTACAGTAAAAAAATGTATCACATTAATAAGGACTGTGTTCTAACAACAACAACAGAATCTTATTAAATAAAAGTAGGATAAGGAAATCTGTCTTTTATCCAGAGTTAGAGTTTCTTAACCTGTTAGATTAAGGACATGCTTCGAGTATGCGTGAACCCCAAAAGTTCATGTAGGATTTTGTGTAGACCTACGTGAACTTGTGCATTTCTCCTAACAGAAAGATAAATAGCTTTCTTCAGACTTTTCAGGTACCTATCCCTGAGAGAGACCTTTTATATGGTGAATTTCTTTTATTCAATTAAAAGTCTGACGGGAAAAAATTAAGTATGACTTTTTTATAAGATCCACAGCCTGCTTGACATCAACCGTCATGCAGATCTGATGGCCGGCCAGGATCACCAAAGGGTACCACTTCCTCTCTACGAGACAGGCTCTCTGAGCTGCTCCAGCTCTCTCTGATTGGCTCTCCCTCCCGGCATTAGCATCCTGCAGGACTCTCGGTGGTCCATCTCCCCACGGGCACCACACCAAACACTAAAAGATCCCCCTGCTCTGAAGGGGCAGGGTTTCATTCCCTCATGTTGACGTTGAAGCTTATCATCACCTTAGACACGAGGGCACAGGCAGCAGCTCGGCTAGAAGGGACAGCGTCTCTCTCCCTCCTGCAGACGCCCCTCCACCACGTGGAGCCTCTTGGGTTGTACGGCCCCGGGGAGTGGGGCGGGGATGGAACCTTTTCTTTCTCCTTCAGTTTCTTTCTCCTTTACCTATCATTTGGCAGGTAAACCAACAGTAGTTCTAACCAGCTAGGAGACATTCTAACTGTCATCAGTGGCCGGTTTTCTCTTTCACTTCATCGGCATACACAGGGACCACTATTTGCATGCTCAGGATGCTTTTAGGTTTAATTCTTTTAGTGCGTTATGGTGAAATCAAGAAAGAGATTCAGTGAGTGGGAAGAGGACAAAATTCCCTTTCCATTTAGTTGCTTTTGGTTTGAGCAGTCTTTATATCTATCTGTAAGTCATTGTTAAAAAAGGAGGCAAACAGATTTTTATTTTTGGTATGTTTTGGGGGGTGTGGGGTAGGTATGCTACAAAGACTTCTAGTGAAGGGAAAACTAATTCTGCTGACCAACAGACAACCTGACGTCATTTTACTGTTGGAAGTACAAAACCTAAAACTTTTGAGGGGGGGAAAGAAATCCTTTATGCCAACACTCTCAGGGCCCCCCCTCACCCAAACTGACAATGCAGTGTTGTGTGAAACCTGGTCTTATCTCAAGAAAAACCCACACACTTACTGGATGCCCTTTCTCTGTGTTTTCGTGCTCTTTCCGTCCTGTGTGGTGGGCACCTAACTCTCCGAATGTGTTTCCAGAAAGTGCTCGCAAACAAAACTGACCATCCGCCTTCTCTGTCACGTGACCAAAAGATGTTTTACTCATTGGGTAATTTACATCTCCTCTCATTATTTCTTCCCCAAACTCAGCTTGGAAGCCAGAACGTAACGGCCAGTGTGCTGGAGGTAAATGCTTCGCAGACACTCAGCTACACCACACCATCAGCCTCTTCTTCACGCCCCCGGCTGCCATGCCTTTTAACCGAAACACCGTCACCAAACCGAGATTCCCAGCCCACATCCCTTAACCTGCCGCCGCCTGCTAGCACGGGCCGTCACACCTGCACGGAGCTCTGCTTACAGCAACCCTTGCTCCTGACCTCCTTCTGCACGCAACATCCCGGGCCCTGTCCCTGCAGACCCCTCCCAGTCCCCTAGCCACCCCCAAGGAGCTGAGGACAGCTGACACTCACACCACTGCCACTCCGAGACACGTTCCCAGCCTTGGGTCAGAGGTCTGACATGACAGACAGCAAGCCCCGAGTGGCCCCGGCTGCCATGCACGGCATTGTTCTTCCTCCCTTTGATTCCACCGTTTTTTAGACAGATCGCCAAAGGCCAATGGGACGGACGCTTGCCAGCCGTCTCATTTTGCTGCTGAGCGTGTTTATTCACGTAGGCGTTGATTGTTACATTAGTGAGCCCATTCTACACCGTCGGCCCGGGGAATCGATGACAGTCACCTTCATAAACCTACTTTGGGCTGAAAAAGTCTCCTTCTCTTCATCCAGCTTAGAGTTGCTTCTTTTCACACCGGGTTGCTCTAGCTAATGAGTTGGACAGTGATTGGCCTTAGTAAGAACTTATCTCAGAAACTTAGAGAAGTGCACATATGATATGATTGTGATTAGATTGTACAGAAAGAAAAAAAAATTACCTCCATGTTAAATCCTGGTAGATGACAGCCTAACTCGGGGAGCCATGGGAAATCATCCCGTGTGAGTAGTCTGTGTGTCCTTCTTTCTCCCACATGCGATTACCGACCAAGTCACGCTGGTTCTCCCTGCTCCCCCGTGTCTACCACTCACGTCTTTTCAACTGTCTGTCTTTCAGGGCTGAACGATGCAAACAACCTTAACCTACTGTAGACACGGAACCCCATACTTCGTAAAAATATTTTTCCTGAGCCATTCCAGTACAGAAATTGATGAATACATTTATTGTTTTATAAACCAATAATTTATCTTCCACTTAAAGTGATATATATTTCCCATGTATGTCATTTACATGTGTCTATATGACAAGCAGTCTCTGATAGAAGATTTGTGAATGGTTAAAACGCTTCACAATTTTACAGCACAGATTTTCAATTGCATCTAATGTCTAGATAATGACTGTAACTTGAAAGGCATATAACTTTATAAGGGCAAAAAATGGGAGTTTTTTTCTAAAAAACTGATTTTATAATGAAGTTCTAAATGAGCATTGTCATGGACAAAATAGGACTTAAAGCAACTTTCCCAAATTCAATAACACAGTAACATGATGATTTGGATAAGGATTTTTCTGTTTTTAACAATAATTATGACACATTATAACAACAGCATTCAAATTATATTTATGAAGACCAACCAATCTTGACTTGGGCAGGGAGGAAAAACAATTCTGAAATAATTCACCAAAGGTAAATAAGAGCTCCAAAGCTTTGGGGTATGCCAGAGCCTCCCACTTATTTTCCCACTGCTCTTGGGGTGGAAGACCCTCAGATACAAGTGCTTGTGGTCTGGGATGGATCTCCATAACTGCTTAGAGGAGCACTCGGTCAGCAAGCACAGTCATGGTAGTGAACTGTTTATTGCCTTTCGGCCAGATGTGGTATGGCTGTAAAGTAATGACACTAGGTTTATTCTAGGTCATTTGCAAACATCTGTTTTAAGGTGAAAAAAAAAATCAGGGAAATAAGTGATGAGTCATTCACCGATGTGTCAGGCCGGTACAATAGAAGTTGAGTTTGTATTAAAATGAGTAGAAAAAGTTCACAAGCTCTGTTTCTTTACCTATGTGCATACGTGTGTTTGTGTGTACTCAGCTCTGGAGCCATTTTAACTAAATGCTCTTACTAATGTTTTGTCTCATTTGTGACATTGCGTGGTCGCCACAGCGCTCTGTGCTGTGGGCAGGGAGGCATATTTCACGGCACTGAGCTCCACCTCTGTGAGCTAAGCCAATTCAGTGCAATTAGAATATGTTTCTATTGCATATCTACTATGTTATTAGCACCAGAGTGCATGCAGCTTTATGTATGTGTGTGTGTATGGCCATCTCCAACAAGAAGCTTGAAATACCACCGTTGGGCATATAAAATAAATATAAAGCAATCAAAACAATAAGTTATTAAGAAAGAAGAGAAAGATCAAGTGCTAAATGAGATTGGAGGAGGGAGAAGCCAGAGGTTTTGGTGCTTTCCCAGGTATTTGATTCTTCTAGAACAGACTGAGTTACCATACATAAATCCAAACAATTGTGTGCCTTATATTAGTAGTCGCCTTGCCCTGGAAGCATGGGTCCAATAGAAGACCGCTGACCGAGTCTGAGAACCAGTCCCTTGCCCCCTGTCAAAGTTCATCCACTCCAAGGCTCACAGGCAGGGTGGTGCGACAGTGTTCCGACTGCTTAGCTTGTGGCTGCAGCGCAAACTTGCCCTCCAGGTTGACTTTATTCAGACTCCTACTAATACCTGTGGCATCTCTGTCGGCCGAGTGGCCTGCCCACTAGCCCACTGCTTCCTAATCGCCTCCTATGCCCTCTGCCATGTGAGAGAGTGATTTTCCGAAGTAAAGACGGGGAAGACGGGGAAATATGCGCCCTGCCCCTCTAGACGTTGCTTTTCAAAGGAAATAAAAACCTGACAGCTGATGACTGTCATTTGGAGGAGGTCTTTCCTTGTCCTCTGAGGGGACGATGTTTCCAGGGGACCATGCTTTAACGGGATGTCTCTGCACTTTCCTCAGAGCCAGATAACGGTGAATGGAAGCTCTGGAGGGGCCGTGAGTCCGATGAGTTACTACCAAAGGCCGTTCTCGCCCTCAGCCTACTCTCTGCCGGGCTCGCTCAACTCCAGCATTATCATGCCGCATGGCCGGTCACTCGGTAAGTCATCTGATAGCCGCGATTTTCATGGCAGTTTCAAAATAGCAAGTACAGACCACAGGAGAAAAATAGAAAGCACCCAAGTAATTTTTAAAAGGAGGCAGAAGCCTTTGACACTTCACTATTTAATGCCCATGTTCTTAGGGGTGGGACGGGGGCGGGGAATTAGGGACTGTGCAGATTCAATGTCAGAAGGAACAGGCACCCAGCTATTCCAAGGCAATGAGACTGCTTCTGTACGGGACTCTGGAGAAGGCTGTTTGGCATCTGGGGAGAAAGTTCACATGGTAAACACCACCCGTGTTCGAGACCCCCTGCTCTCGCATGGACAACTTCCACTGCAGAACATTCCTTGGGGTGTATAGAGAAGGACTGGTTAACGGTTAACACAGTCCGATGCGGCGGGCAGGCTGCCTCACGGAGCAGTGCACCGTGCTAACTGGACACGGAAGGCCGTCCGTCAGGGATGTGAGGTTTTAAGTGAGGATTCCAGAATTTCAGAGGCACCTAGTTCTTCTAGGCATTTTTGGGGAGTTAAGAATTAGATGAAAGATGTAGCTCTCTTCCAGAAACAGAAGGAACACTTGAACATGGATAAAAACTTTTCCAGCATATAATATCACGGGGCTCATGAATGCTTTTTTTAAAAGATTTTATTTATTTATTTTGAGAGAGGGAAGGGAGGGAGAAGGAGAGAGAGAAACATCAATGTGCGGTTGCTGGGGGCCATGGCCTGCAACCCAGGCATGTGCCCTGACTGGGAATCGAACCTGCGACACTTTGGTTCGCAGCCTGTGCTCAATCCACTGAGCTACGCCAGCCAGGGCTTCATGAACACTTTTGAAGCTTCCCTGAAAAGATACTGTGCCATATAATGATAGAAACTCTTTTATACGGCAAAAGATACTAGAACCGTATCATAATCTTCCTTAGTTTTTAAAACTGTAAAACATTAACCCAGAACGTTAAAAAAAAAAACCAGACTGAATCAAACCATCACATGAAGTTGAGCTGACAAGGTACCATGATGCTGACCAAGGGTTCCCCCCAACCCCCGCCCGGCAGGAAGCAGAGAGTTAGGCCGGAAAGAGAGCAGGGATCCCAGCCCAGCTCCCGGAAAGCAGGAGGGGACCCATCCTCTGGCCTTGAACCCACTGCAGAGAGAAAGGAGCCCGTGCCCAGGGCTTGCACTCCCGTTCCCCAACACTGGGTGTGTGCTGAAAGAAGGGATGCTGTCAGCTCACCGGGGAACAGTCAGCGTGTGTGCACGGTGCCACTCGGCTTCCGCGCCAGCAAAACCTCTAGACGGCGTACAGGTAGCCGTGAGACTCGTTAAAGGAAAGTCTCGATATAGAGCGGCGCCTTTTCTAATGCTGTTGGAGGGCTGTTCAGGGCACACCTCCATGTTAACCGGGAGCGGCTGAAGCTGAAGGCCAGTGAGTTAAAAGAGAGAGAGTGATGGGAACACAAACTGTGTCACGTTTGGGGTAACTAGGCAAGAGGCTCCGATCCCCCGGGCATCAGGTACATTCCGTGTCCCCGCAGACTCCGCAGAGGCGTACCCCCAGCACGCGCAGTCGCTGGACGGCTCCCTGGGCGGCTCCATACCGCTGTACAGGTCCTCGGAGGAAGAGAAGAGGGTGACCGTCATCAAGGCGCCGCATTACCCAGGGATCGGGCCGGTGGATGAGTCCGGAATCCCCACGGCGATTAGAACGGTAGGACACGCTGGCGTGCGCCCCGAGCTCCGGGCCACGCACGGACTCCACGAGGGAGGGCTGGCTGGTGGGGGTCCCTCTGGGCTCAGCTAACGAGGCTTGCCCCCGGTGCCATCTGACGTCTCACGACCATAACGTGTGGCAGAGACAGAGGGCTGTCAATGGGAGATCATCGCACAATCTGTGTTTCCGTCTTAATTAAAAAATCGTGAAAATTGTGGTTTTGTGAAAGGACACAAAGTGTGTTCTGTTTTACCCTTTAGCAAGGCGTGCTAGGGCAATAGACAAGACAAGGACGGAGGAAACGGGAGTTGGGGGTGGGGGGGCTGCATGGGACCCCCAGGGGCATTGCAAATAACCCAGGGAATTTTTGTTTGAAATGGGCAGGCGTGTGCTCACACCAGGAGATGAGGAGCTGTGATTGGGGGGGAGGGGGCAGTGAAATGAAGGGAGTTCAAGTCAAAGTCATGGACAGGAAAAACTGGAGAGAAACACACCGCTTAGTGTCCGTCTTCGGCCGTGCCTGCCGAGAGCTCTCGGGGATGCTAAGTGAAAGGGTGCAGATTTTTTTTCTCCTGTTTAAACTCTGCCAAAGCCTTGCTCAGAGTGTCGGGGCAGCCCCTTCTGGCAACGCTCAGCAGCCGCAGAGTCAGCTATTGGGAGCCCGGGCAGGCGGCAGCTGCTCGCTGAGCCTGAGCAGTCCACTCCGAGACAAGGTCTGTGCTAGCAGCGACCGGGCGACCGGGCGGCCTTGGGAGCCAGGATGCGAGCAGCAGCACCTTTGCAGGTGATGTTGGGGGTGGGGGGCCCACTGCAGAAGGGAGCGCAGGTGGCCTGCGGTTTTCCACGACTCCCTGGGACCTGGCTGGGGTGTTGCCAAGGGCTGCTACCCTGGAAGGCAGACCTGGGGGGCCACAGACAACAGTGGACAGAGGGAAAGAAAGGGACAGAGGTCAGGGGGAAAGCACTGGTGGTCCCGTTGAAGAAACACTCAGGCTGCCCTGAAGGCCAAGTGTGAGGGCTTTTGTTTTTAATTTGCATGTATTATATGGGGGGTTACGTGTTCTGTATGCAGAGAGAAGAGTTGAAAATTAACTAGTCCAGGCTTCTGTATGACAATCAGAAGCCAAAAGTAAATCAGTGTAGCAGTTCCTGTGGGTGTCGTGTTCATTCGGTTCTAAGAACATTGATTGCGACTCGTTATGAAGCCCTGGGAATCTGTGCTGGAACTGAAGATTGTCATATTGAAGGGGCAGAAAAGTTCAGGGGTCCCAACTAGCATGCTTACTCTTACGATGACGACGTGTTTCTGGCGGAGGTGTTGGGTTGTTTCCCTCTTAAGATTTCTGATGCAAAATGGTTCCATTTCATTTTTTTTCCTAATAACGTGTCACACAGGTAAGGTGTCAGGTATGGTGTCACTGGTTTTGTTTAACTGACCCTTGAGGCACAATATACACACAAATGAGGGGCTCCCTGATTCTATATAGTTACAGATTCTCTCCGAGAAACTTTTATCTGAGACCTCTGGGTGTGTTTCTAAATCAACAGATGATTTGTAAAAGTGACAAGGCTGGGCCTTTTTTTTTTAATCCACAAGACATAATTTTCTTAAGTAGCAAGGCCTTATTTGTCAGTTTTTCAAAGGAAAAAACTAACACATGAGCCGTTGTAGATGGTGAAAATCAGGTAATACTGAAGTTTATATATTGTTTATCTACTGCCAAATCAAAAGCGTATTTAGACATGCATAAGTAAACACTTCGTGCTAGTTCCCCTGCTTTAAAACAGAAAATAACACACGATTTCTGGGCACAGCTGCGCTTGCATTTGGACTTGGAAAACTTGACAAAGAAGGCGCAGGTCTGTGAAGGCTCAGTCACACTTCCTATTTTCTAGCCCTGCTGAGCACATCCCCAAGTATAGCCGTGTTTATGAAAGTCGAGTCAGGCCATCTCTGAGCCACCGCAGGCCAAGAATCTCCCGGGCTGTTCCTCTCTCTCACCCTGTAGAAAGCAAGGATTAGCAGACTCCGATGGCTCCCACGGACTTTCTACCGAGTCACACACCAAAGGCAGTCCTGTCTCAATGGACTGGGTCAGCCCCTCACTCCAGACAACCAGCATATACCGAGGAAATGCAATTTTGTAAAGTCACCCAGAAACTCTAGGAAGCCAAGAGTCAACAAATGTACCTTTGAGTTATTTGAACGGAGGGAACACCAGCTCCCGGCACGGCCCTCTCTCACGTGACCCGGGCCGTCTGTGTTAGCCTTTCACGGCCATTCTTAACAACAACGACAAAAACCACTAGGATTCAGGTCCCACGAGACTGTCTCATTACAGCCAGCTAGTTAGGTGAAATACAAGACTCTTTTCTTCTAGTTCAAACACAACATGGTTTGAGCATTTTCAAAGCTGGGAAGGGGCAAAAAAATAGAATAGAATAACTGTATACTGGTATGTAGAAAATATGTGTATTTCCCCTTTTTGGAAATCCCTACACGATAAACCTCTGTGGAGTTCCGATGTTCTGTAAACTGTAGGAATATAAAAAGCCAGGTATGCTCAGCCAAGGTTATACAAAACAACCGAATAGTGAATTCCTAGTGGTTAGCATCCGTGCAAGATAATTTCTGAAGGGCACACACAAAAGTAAACGTCTTCAAATCTGAGTAGACTTCTGTTTACTCAGTCCCAGGATTAGCCATAACAGTCTCCACGCTGGCATGCGTGAAGGGAACTCTAAATGCGCAGAGGACTCCTTTTAGAACGGGACACAGAGTTTTTGTAACCCTTTTACCAGTTTCATGTTCCCCTTTGCCAACTGACGGGGCATTTCTGGCATCTCTGTGCTCTCCATATAAAGCGAGCAGATGGCAGGACTGAGATCCAGCCCAATACGTGCCCTCCAGCAAAGGAAGAAAAAAATGCCTGTCTGGCAGGACGCATTGCCATATACAGGGATGTGACTTACTCATTAGGCATCCTCCTTGCCTCTGGTTGTGTCCAGGTATGGGTGGAGAGCATTTCTGCTCCAGGCTGTGTCCTCTTTTCTGTCGCTGAACACTGTAAAGGAAATAAAGCTTAGTGAAAGAGCAATCTGTCTTTTATGAAAATAAATGTCCCTTCAAGATACGTGATCAGCAAATAATAGCCAGACTCCTGTAGTAACTGCTGTGCCCTGTCCCACCAGCTCCCACCGTTTGAATACAAGGTCAGCCAACAATCCCTTCCATTCTTCCATTGTAGAAAGAGCCTAGAATAAACGAAGAGGTAATTCGCAACAAAGTAGCCCTTAATGTTAATCTATATTTATGGTCATTACCAGAATCGTAGATTCTTAGACCCCAAAGTCGTTAGATAGAGCACCAAACCCTCAGTGTCTAGGTGAAAAATGCAATGACCACATTTCTGAGGGAAAAATTAGGATAGAAAATGGCAACCAAAGCTCAGCCTAATAAATATAAGAATATTTTTGTGGCAGTCCTAACAGGATGTTTTGCGTCAAGAGAATTATCTCGGAAAATCTGGTATATTTAGTTAACGTAGACAGAATAGTTGAGCTTCTCGCCCTTGAAGCTCTGGAAATATTGAGATAAAGATCTTGCCAAGACAAATCTTCCCTTGTGATCATAAAGGTGTCTGTCTACTTTCACAGGTACACAACACGGTGGAAGACTTCCATCCAATAACCTGGATTCATTCATCATTTTATTCCATAAACATTTGACATTCCCCGTGGTTGTTATTTATTGGCCATTTCTTATACAATAGGCATTGCCCTAGACCTTTGTGCGTACATCAACTCATTCAGTTTCTATAACAACTCCGTGATGTGGGACTGTTACCTGCACGAGGTGGAAAAGGTTACCTAAGTTATCCAAGTTCACATTGCTAGAAAACAGTAATGAAGGGGGCCGAGATTTGAATCTAGGCTGATCTGACATTAATTTCGTCTTCCCGCTACAGCCCACGGTGTCTATCATGTCAAAGCCGGGGCTGCATTTGGAGAAGCTTCTACTCTCAAGGAGTTTACAAGTTAGCAAAGCAAATGCTGTATACGTTTTATTACCAGTGTAAACATTTTTTGAAGCAATATCTACATTTTGAGTTTTGCTCTTAGACTCGGGGGTGTGTCACACCTTTGGTGTTTTGGGAACTTAGACTAGAAAACACCAATTTCTTTGTTTCTCTGAATCTAAGTTGGCCTAAACCCAGTTCAAGTCAAAAATAATGTCATAAACAGAACACTCACTTAAAACTTTTTTTAAGGAGAATAATAATTATCACCAAAAGATGTGAAGCACACTATTATAAAACTGTAACTCTTATTCAGTGATTTTTATATAAATATGGTTGTGCAAATACTAACTGTCTCGTGCTGGGCAAACTATGATTTGCATAAAATAAAGTCACAGCATATATGATGTTGCAATTCAGCCTCCGCTAAAAAGGGGGTAATGTATTTACGCACTGCATGCATATCGGGACAAATGACTGGTATCGCCATCATGAAATAGACGTTTTATCATAGAGCAGAAATTCGCTATTTAAAAAGGTGAAATACAGGAGGAGCAGCATTCAGGAGCAATGTCATCCCGGAAGCAGCTTTGTAACGGCGACGCTCTCTCCCGCAGACAGTGGACAGGCCGAAGGACTGGTACAAGACGATGTTTAAGCAGATCCACATGGTGCACAAGCCAGGTACGTCTGTCACTGTGCTCTGATCGGGTCCCCGCGGGTTGAAGGACGTGTATGTATCCTCCCCCCTTCCGTGTAGTGTAGTGTCACCCCAAATGCCAAGATCCTAGCAAACTGCCTGGCTCCCACTCCTTCTTTTGAACACGCCTCCTCATATCACCCCTCAAATCACAGTCCCCGGTGCTCCTTCCTCACCCCTGATCTGCCAAGAAGCCTCTTAGGAGGGGGCCTTGAAGAGGTGCCAGGTGCTCTGGGGTCTTCGCTTCATCCTCCCTTCCCCACAGTCTGAACCAGCATGGTGCATTGCTGCTTACACACTCAGTTTTCCTCCGTCCGCCCGCGTCTGCTCCTTACCCAGAGAGCGAGCGTAGGTCGGTCTCACGGAGTCGACAGAGACAAAGCACTTGCTAAAGGAAAGTCATGACCCGGAAGAGAAGGCTCCCTGGGGAAGGGAGGTAAAGGGGCTGACCTTGGACACTGTGAAGAGGGCCACAGAGCAAACACGGCACAGACAGGTCAGGTCGAGCTGCAAGGGCCCCGCGACAAAACAATGCATGGGATTCCTAACCAATGTCCGTTGCGTCTCTGAAGTTCTGCTGTCTTCTTACGATATGGTGACGGAATCTGTACCACCATAATATTTATGTTTCGTTTTTCTAGATGATGACACAGACATGTATAATACTCCTTATACCTATAATGCAGGTAGGACGGGTTTGCTTGCTCACAATGCACATCCCACGCCCCGCCATGCTTGGGAGAACCTCACCATCACTTTCTCACCACTCTGAGTGCATGTCTTCCGTTGCCACAACGAGGAGGACGCTTTTCCCCTCCCCCTTTTCCTCGGGGCATGCATAACAAAAGGATTGATCTTTTCTCCTGGAAATGAGAACTAATACGCTTTTCTCACATTCGTTCCCACTGTCCGGTTTATGCTCAGCTTCAGGAATCTTTAACCCAAGTGTGAAGGCCAGCCTGAAAGAACAGACTGTACCGGGTACAAAATGAGATAAAGATCTCCTTTTATCAGCGGGCAGAGTGATTGCCATTGCATGAGATCTTTCAGACACACGCCACAAAAGACAAGTCCAGCACAGTGTTCTGTGACCTTGTCCATGCTTCTGCTCCAGAATGCAACCATTCATTGGAGGAGTTTTGAAAACCCCACTTTGCCGGCCGCTGTTCTGACTCAGAGTTGCCAGTGGTCATAATGGGCCGACTTCAATTCCGGGTTTTTCTACGTGTATCGGAGTGTCTTGGTATCTTGGGAAGTGGTTGCAGGTGAAAGTGAGGGAACCCCTTAGAAATGTTCCTCGTCATCACTTACTCCTAAATGTCACATCGGGGGATCCCACGCCGGGCTCCTCCCCCCGCTCAGCCTCAGGCTGCAACCACTGCGTGGTGTCTGTTTTTCCTTTCTCGGGAGCAGGCTCGGTGGGTCGGTCTCCCCTCCCCTTACACAGTGGCAGCCTCACCTGGGGTCCCCTTTCTGGCCTGGCCGTGAACTGCATGAGGGTCTCCCCTCTTGAGCACCTGAAGGCCAGCACACAGGCCCCTGACCTCTTGGGGATCCAGCTCGTGATCCCCAAAGACATATAGAGGGACAGCGAACAAAACAGAATAACAACAACGAACAGAACGAGCTTAGAAGTAACTAGACCTCTGGTTTTCTGACCCCCAATATTCCACTTGATAGCGGGGGCCCCACTAAGACTTGTATTCCTGGCCACTGGTACTCCAAACTCGGCTTGTTAAAAACAAAATTCAACTGAGTACATTTGAAAGATCTCATTGGCTTTGGTCAGTGATTTGGGACTCGGGCAGCATCCTCCAGCAGATAGAGAGGAGCTCCGAGGAGCTGCACCAAATGAAAGACGTTCTAGGCAGAAGGGGGCAGAACACGGGGGTCCTACCAGGTGAAAAGGCAGATCGGTCACTGAGATGGCGTTCCCTTAGGGGGCGGCAGGAGCCTGTCGAGCAGATGACCCGACTAGTGCTGGCCAGGTGACTCCTGATGGGCTGGTTCAAGATTCCATTTCCGGGCGAGGCCTAAACCGTCCTTAAGTCTGGCTTGGCGAGGTGCGCTGTGCCTCAACAACTCCATCGGGGGCCTGTGGCCCTGCCTTTACCGAGCCCGACAACGGCAGCCAGACTGCGGAGTCCGGGCAGAACAATGCGGCAGGCATCAAGTCTTCCTCTGTCACGGCAGTTGGCCCGGGACTTCGGGAGAAGATAACACGGAAACAGACTTAGCTCAAAAGACTGAGGTGGCAGGAACTTCAGAATGCTTGTCATTGTTTTTTCATATCAGTGTTTTGTATCCATTAGTAATTAGTAAATCAGACACTTTTACATATAAGCTCGCAGAGCTCTTTAGAGAGAGTGTTACCATTTAATCAGTAGGCAGAGCGGCTGCAACCTGTCTCTGCCCTTCCTTCTAACCTTGCTCCCGCTGCTGTCTGTCTGTCTGTCTTGCTCTTTCCGCCCCTTTTCTGATTCTGTGCTGTCTCTGCCACGCTCATCAGGGCTGACTGTAGTGCCATAGGTCCCACAGTGTGTCCTCTGGCCAAGCCGCTATCTTCCCCTCCCAGAATCCTTTAATCCTCAGTGTATATCGTCTCCATTCGGCCTTGATCATATTGCCGACTATTTTTGATCATAGTTCCATTTGTGTCTCATTTCCCACATGCGCTATGAGCTTATGAAGGGATTCTGCTTCCTAAAGCCTTGCACAGCACATGTATAACTGGCTCAGGATTTTGTTTGATTGCAATTAACACGTCCCTTATCATATGTAAATCAGAGCTTTTAAAGTAACAGAAGCTATCTGGAAAGGATTCTGTTAAGTATTTTTAATCTTCCTCTGAAATCTTAACTATGTCATTAGTTTATGTTATCCAGGAAAAACCTTGCTGAATAACTGTAAGTTATTCCCAGTGCTAGTCTGAATTAATACTAATTCTAAAATAGTTGACAAAGATTTACTGTAATCAATGCTTGTGTACAGAATACAGTAATAACAAATTAACACATTAATAAAGATCAATAAATTAATGATATTAACATATCACTAAAGATCATACTGCCCGATGCATGCATGGTGACTATGCTTGTTGATTATTAATTTTGGCAAAAATCATTGGATAGTTTATGGGTTACAAACAATTTGATGCACTTTTAAAACGTCATTTGCTCCTGTTTTGTTCTGTTGTGTCGTGTTTCGCGATAGGCCTGTACAACTCGCCCTACAGTGCTCAGGCACATCCGGCCGCGAAGACCCAGACCTACAGGCCCCTCTCCAAAAGCCACTCGGACAACGGCGCCGCCGACACCCTGAAGGACGCGGCCGCCCCCGCCCCCGCCCCGCCCCCACAGGTTCCCCCTCCAGTCCCACCGCTGCGGCCAAGAGATCGGTCTTCAACAGAAAAGTAAGTGATTGCCTCCCAAAGTGGCCTCTACTTAGAACAGTATAAGGAAAGAGGCACATGGTCTTCAATAGAAGAATTGGTGGAGATACTGTGTGGATCATGTTATTAGTCATTGCATGTACCATGTATTGAGATTATAGTAAACCCTTTCCTCTATTGGGATTATATAGCAAGTTTGGTTCATAGGATTGCAGTACCCTAAGGTAGACCTGACGTAACGTGGGCACAATCTCTGCTTTTTAATCAATAAATGCGTCCAAGAAGACAAATAAATAGAAATAATTGACCTACTCCCTTTGGCATAGCAGGTCAGAGATTATGCAGTTAATTTTCAGTTTCCTCAGGTTTGAAGTGTTAGGCCTATTAATAAGTTCAAATTCCCCTCTGATACACAAAAATATCCTTTTGAAAGCAGGAAGGTTATTCATACGTTATAAATAAGGCATTCGTTAATAAGTGTCTCCCTGTGACTCATTTCCATCAGTGTTTAGAGATGATAGCAATTTTCATTTTCCCACTGAAATATTTTTGTAGAAACTATTCTCACAAAAATAAACACACTTGTAGTGTGCCACTTAGAAATCATGATGACTGGCGATCCTACTCACAGGGAACCTTTCCTGAGCGTTTGCTATGAGCCACGCACTAGGCAAAGCATTTTCCCTCTATTATATCATTTAATTCTGAGAACAACCCAATGAGATATGTATGTTTTATTTTAAACCCATGAAAATGGGCACAAAGTATATGTGAGAAGATTCTCATTTTAATACCAATCTTATCACGGTGAAGTACATGTGTACAACCGTGATGTCTTAAATTTGACATCTTTGTCAAATTTGGCTAGAAATAATTGTCTAGACGTAAACGGTGTATCTGCCATAAAAAAGACCCAAAATTAACTCAGATTTAAATGTGTCATTTGCTCCGTGTGTTCCATAAAAATAAATCTCTCGTCAGGAAATGCGCTAACCTCTTAACTTCTGGAGGGCTTTCATATACGTTGTCTTGTATAACGCTCACAACACCTCTTCTCAACATTACTCATCAATATGCTAGGAAGCCAGTCCTTGACTCTAATTCTTTGGCTGCCTAGGGCACTTCTATTTCCAGCTCACCATGGAGTCCAATTCCACCCCATTCCATGGGTCAGAACTGCCCCCAACAATAGTCATAAAATCCTGCTTTCTCAAAAGTGACCCCCCAGGAAGCTTTCTTTAGCCCCCAAAAGCTACGTAAAAATCTCTGCTTTTGGAGTCCTTCTGTGACCACTTCTTGAAGGACGTTAGTTCGGGAGAAAGCTGGTTCCAAGGTCTCCAATGAGTCTGGTTTTTCAAAAGCAGTATCAATGGAGGATCGCCCATCCCCACAGTTTGCTCCCACAGACGGTAACCCAAGTGATACTTCAGTACTTTTCACACACTATGATGCCATTTGCGAGATAAACAAGATCAAACATGGCATGTGCACGACTCCTTGTCACTTTGAATCAAGGATGCCGGGTCAGAGCGGCAGGATAAACTCATGTAACTTCCTGGAGCGTAACCACCACTCACCCTACACACAGGCATACGCAGCTGCTTTTGTGTGGGACCCAAGGGTTTACGAAGCAGATCACAGGCTATATACCCACATCCCTTGTGTGAGTGTTCGAGCCAAAGGAAAAAAATCATTGTATGAAAAAAAAGGAGGAACACATAATATGAAATAAATGACTTTCATCAACTCTCTTATGTCAAATGCGGTATTTTGGTCAGATCAGCTTTTCAACCTGTGCAACTTTTTTTGTTTCATCTGTACTAAAACGAACTTTGCAAACAGCGAGGAGTTATACACAACGGTTCAAAACGTAGAGAATTATTTTCATGAGCAATTTGTTGGTTATTTCCAGACATGACTGGGACCCTCCCGACAGAAAAGTCGACACAAGACGATTTCGGTCCGAGCCGAGAAGTATTTTTGAATACGAACCCGGGAAATCTTCGATTCTGCAGCACGAAAGACCAGTAAGCACTTGTCACTAAACAGGATGCCAGTTCTCTAGGCTTCCTGGGTTCTCCCATAAACCCGAATGTCGTATCGTTTGGCAATTTTTGTCACAAAGGTAACTTCACTATTTGGCGTTATTTAGAAATCATGTCATTTGGCATTGTGATGTGTGAACCTGGTTTCAGAGTTGAAGATGCAGTCTCTCTAATTTGTTTTGTCCTTGCAGACTAAACGTAGGACTTATTTACATAGAACTGTAGCTATGTCCAATCAGAGCCCTGAGCTGGGTTTTTTAAAAATAAGGAATGGCACTCATAAATGCAACACTGAATTGCTTGTCTATGTTCCTAATGAGAAAAAAAACATTCATTAACCTCTTTGCTACAATTGAGACCCAGGCAGTTCCTTTTCGTATAGGTTTATTAATATTTCTCCGGCTTCAGGGGAAATGTTCCAAAGGCCTTTTTTATAACAAGCTGTTTTAATTGATTCTTATTAAATCTCTCTCAGGTTACCAAGCCTCAAGCTTCCTGATTGGTTGTCAGTCTAATGGATCAAGATTCTAATCTAATTAACTTTGCAGTATTGTACGATTATTTAATCGTGTACGAATGGAAAGATACATAGGCTGGAAAGAAACCATGTGCTTCCCCAAAGTGCAGGTTAACACGTAGGCTCCTCCTCAGCCCTCTTTGTTTTTAGGTCCCCAGCCTTCCTCCCTGCGCCCTTTCTCCTCATTGGTCGGGGCTCTCAGGATCTCATGAAACTGCAGTTCCTCTGCATCTCTGTCAAAATCTGCTTCCAGAGGAACAGCTGATCTCATTTGCATGTGCTCTCTGCCTTGCCTTAAAAAGAATTCTTATGAGCAGGAAGGCCTTTCCTTGGTGAGATCCTTTAAGAGCGTCCAGGAAACCACGCCATCGTCCATAAGGCAGGGCCAGCCCTGAACTTTCGCTGGAAACCCTGGGCACACCACACCCAGTGTGAGCGTCCTCGATTTTGCTTTTGAAACCCCGTTTTTATAGTTATGTTCTTGAGAAACATGTTCAAAAACCTTATCATCTTACCATTCATACGTGGTATGTTTCTAAGCCTTTTTTTTTTTGCCTTTCTTCAAATAACCCCTGTAGAGTAACAGAAAAGCTGAGGGAAAAGGCAACATCACTGATTTTGCAGGCTCCACTGCAAACTTATTTACCAGATGTGATCGGGTATCATGATCTCTAGGATGAGAACTGAGCGAGTCACGATGTCACCGTTCTACAAAATGGAAAACAGCAGCGTGATTATGCAGAATAATGAGTCTCGTATTTAAATGTGCATACCAAAACTTTAATGATCGTTCTAACAATTCATGATGCTCTTAGGACAATGAATGCTGAAACTATATTGATAGCTGTGATCGATGCGGCGTCAGGAAATAGGACTGGTTTTAGAAGCTTTCCCATCAGGCCGTTTCTATTGTGACTCATTCGACAAGGTTACTGAGCACCAGCTGTGCGCCCGACATTGTATTAGGTGCTAGGGACACAGTAGTGAACACCATACCGTCTCCACCTCGAGGAACTGCGAGTCTATCATTTCATGGATGTTCAGGGCAGACCCGCACTTCTGGAACTACACCATCTGCTATGTGGTGGAAACAGGCACACCCAAAGACCCTTCCTTTGCCCCCTGAACAGCTCGTCCATGGGCTGAATCATCTGTCATTGTGACCGAAATTCCCACATTGCTCATATCGTTGGGCTCAGGCTTTGAAGTCCCCACTTTTCAAATAGCAACAACAATAATAATAATGACAACCACAATAGCTTTAGATCTTCATTGAGCACTTACTGTGTGCCAGGCCCTGTATGCGGTCATTGGTGCCTTATCTCACGTAGTGAGCCTGACAACCTGTGAAGTAGATACGTGGCACTTCCATTTCACAGGTGAAGAGATAGAAGCACACAGCCAGCGACTCTGCTGGTGGGTCTTGGGGCCAGGCGCGCGCCCCGGCCGACTCATTCCCAGCGCAGTCAATCACAACCTTACGGTTGCATCACCAGGATTAGGCAACACACTTAGCTAGTGGCCATTATCACCTCCACTTGATTATTCCACTATTTTGCAGTATAACTTAGTTTATTTGCTGACTCATAATAACTTAGTGCACTTGATTGATTTAAGCAGAAACCTGGGCCCTGAATAGTTAAGACCCAAGACCGGGATGCTCAACGGTTCTGAGAAGAGGAAGATCTGGAGTGTGGGTTTAGCGGGAGGATCGGGCATGGCTGAGTCTCTGCAGCCAGGGGAAGGGACCTAAATGCGTGGAAGGGACCGGGAATGGCTATCTTATAAAGAAATGGGAAGAACCAAAACTTTTATCTTTCCTAAAGGACAGTTGTGCCGAGGGCCAGTCTGACCGGAGCTAGTTCTGTGTGTCATTACGGCCAGGGCTGTTATTAGGGGACTAGGCTTTTATCTCTGAGTTGTTGTTGTTAACCCTGAAGTCGTTCTGATTGCCTTTTACACCAGAAGAAAGAAGGAGGGGGAGGGTGGGCGGAGCGCAGGGCGGTGCTGCAGACCCTGGCTGTGCCCTGACGCGGGTCACGTGAGCGGCTGGGGTGTCTGGAGCACGCGAGGGGCGGAGCGTGCGCAGCAGGCTTGCCGAGGGAGAGCAATGCGGAGTGAACCGGGCGGCCAGGGTCTCGAGGCGCCCTAAGTGCGCTCTCACGTCCTTTCGCTCCGAGGTGGCGTGGGAGCGGTCTTCTGCCCTTTGCAGAGTTCGCTCTACGTGAATCATAAACAGCTAGGTAATTAGCTGTTGTCCTTTCCAGTTCTTAGATGACTCCTCCATCTGCCCAGTTTCCCCAGATGTCATCTGGGAATGACATCTCTCCCAACGGCCTCAAAGCCCTGCCCACCAGCGCAATGCGGCCAGCACCCCTCTGAGCGGGTCCTCAGCTGCATTGCTGCCCCTAGTTGCGTGGCAGGCGATGGATTCATTTCCCCGATTCTTCCATCTTTATCATTTCCCCTGCTCGAAACTTCCTTCTGCCTCTCAAGTATCTTTACGGCAAAACCAAAACCCCTTATACAATCTATGGGAAACCTTGTGGTCTGGACCCCAGGGACCTCTCCAGTCCCCTGGCGCCTCCTGCCCTTCCCGCCTCACTCACCCACCCACTCACTCACTCACTCACTCACTCACTGAGCCGTGTTCCAGCTCTACTGAGAGCTGTCAGTCCCTTCCCCACCAGACCTTTGCGCAGGCTGTGCCCTTGGCCAGGGAAGAGCTCTCCACCACTTCCTCTCCTCTCACCACCCCCCACACCCTGCTGACCCCTCAACTCCAGGTGCAGAGCACCCCCTGCTGTCACCACACTGAACTGTACTGTGCTCTTGTCTGCCTCCCTCACTAGACTTGAAGCTCCTGAAAGGCAGGGACCATGTCTGGTGCACCAGCGGTATCCCCAGCACCTAGCACGTTGCCTGGCACGTGGTCGGTGTTGAGCGAATATGCCTTTAATTAATACGGGAATGAATGAATGAATGAATGAGCATAGGTGTTACCCTTGCCATGTGTGGGTACCGTTGGTGAGACCGACTCCCCGTCCTGTTGCTTATCTGTGCAGACTGCATCCACACACACACAAGGGCGTCGACGCACTGCTTCCAATAATTATAGTTCACTAATTCCATGGGTCTCTGGGGACAGCGCAGAGCAGGGGCAGGGCTGTGTAAATAAAAGTCCTTCCCCAGACTCTGGCCAAAAGGATATGCTTCTTCCTTGGAAATACTTGGAATATGCATTTACATTCTTTAAGATGAAAGTAAAAGTGAATGCAATTTTTTAAAGTGCACAGATATGCATTTGACTATAAGTTTAGAAATGCTGATTAAATAGGCATAGTGTTTGATCTCAGAAAGTACTCTGCCCTCACCAGGAATCTACCCTCAGTTGACTTAAACCACAGTTTATCCCAGGAGGCAATCACACAAACTCTCTCACTTGGATTACCTCAATAGAAACTTTCCCATCTGGACTGGATATGTTTATAGGTGAGCCACATTAAAATAAAACAAATTTACATAAAACACTTATCTAAGACCTCTCTATGCTTGATAAAAGTGGAAATAACATGAAGATGTTACCTTTCTATGTGATAACTAATGCAGGAAGGAATAATCATTGAAAACACCGTGTAGCATTGATATGCAATTAAGCCCTCAGGGAAAATTGGCAGAGAGCAGGGTGATAGATAGTCTGCCCCCGCATTCTGTACTGTATCACAGGAATACATTTCTGTCTATCAGGATTTAGTACATCCGTCTTTATGCAGTTTCTTCAGGAGGAAGTCAGAGCGGAGCTGTACCCGCGGTTAAATGCATGTATTTGTTTAGTTAATGTGCTGCCCTCTGCTGTTCAGTGTTTTTAAAGTAAATTTGTTTCCTCTGAGAGAAATTTCTGTCTCCCTTTAGGCAAACGAAAACTGTGCTTGAAAGCAGAGATCATTAAACCAAGAATTAACCATGCTTTTAAAGAATATAACATTAGAAACAGTGAGACTTGGAAAAGCTAACGTTTAGTTTTTTCCGTGGAAGAATTACTAGGCCTCTGTAGACGGAACAAAATTTGCTGAAACACTCTCTCTGGTGTCATTTGCTGCAAGAATCAGCTCCAGCGTCCCTGGCCCCTGAAACACGTACAGGCCGCAGCTCTTGTTTAAATGCGTGTGTTTTCTCACTGAGCTCCACCAGCCACAGGCTCTGTGACAGTGGTGCAAGCTGTTGTGCAAACATGTAGTCACATCACGCCTTTGTCACTTACGTCCCATCCTAAACCTTCCCCAGGGCTGCTAAACAGCTGTCGTCACGGTAATCGCTACACACGACGGGTAACTTAGACCCTTCCACTATTTGCTCTGACATCTCAACTTTTCTGTCCCTGTCTATAGCTACCATTATAACCTCCCATTACAACATATTGAAAGAAAAAGCACATCTCTCAAAATACTTTGGATATAATTGATTAATAAATACAGATTGTATATTATTCACAACACCATTGCAAAAAAAATCAGTAAAACACTTTGACAAGCTAATCTCAAAGTAATGGTTTCTCTTTGAATATGGACTGTCTCAAGGCACCCAACATCACACAGACGGCGCCCTCTCCTGGCCAGGGGCAATGGCGTCCAGGGAACTGAAGGGGTTTTCGTCTCACTTGAAATACTGCTGTCCGACTGCACCGTGTTTAACTAGCGCCATGTAGTAATTATCAAAGAAGTAACTGTATGTAGAACTTCCAGCATCCATTTTTAGTAGAAAAATAACAGCCCAAACCTACCTGGTCAGGCACGAATTATCGGAAACCCTGAGGACGGCTGGGGAAAGCAAATGCTCTGTGACTGTTTCTTCTCTTACTAAAGTCATTGTGTGTGTTTTGTTCAAACTGTTTATGTTAATACTCTTGAGTTTTTCTATCTCAAATACAATATTCGGAAACCACTGAAGCGGAGCAAGTCAATTGTAAAAGTTGGCTTTTTCACTCTAAATTAGCGTGTCCACCAAACCAGGGTAGGATTTTCTCCCTCACCCTCTCCCCAGCCCGAAGCTACCGCAGGGCTGTGAAGAAACACCCAACCCCATCCAAATCCATTTCCGTAGCTGTGAGTGGACAACAAAAGGGTGATATTTGGGGTCTCCCCTAAAACGTGACCGTTCTTCACTCTCTGGGAGGCTCCTTGTCTTCACATCCTTTCCGTGGTACCAACCATCCCCAAGTGACCCCCCCATCCCCCAGGGACCCTCGCGTCTCACCTAGGGCTGCTGCTGTGTCTCCTCCATTCCCCCAAGAGCCTCTGTGCCATGAGTCAGCTTCTCCCCCCCCTCTTTCTTACAGCCCCCTCTCCCTACAACTCCGACACCTGTTCCAAGGGACCCCGGCCGGAAGCCTAGTTCTATGTCACCACACGGAGAAGTCGCTGGTAGCCCCTCCCCTCCGCCCAGGAGCGGGCTCCCCACACCAGGCCCGAGCACCCCGGCTCTCTCTCCCATCTGGGTGAGCTCCTTCCTTCCCTCCCGTCCCTAACACCTGTCTGTCGGGAAGATCAGGCGCGGTCCTTGCTCTGCGGAGGCTGGGACCCTCAGAGGCTGGCTACTCACCTCTACCCCGCCTCGCCGCCCCTCTTCTTCCCCACCCAGACCCCAGGCTCTTCCCTCCAGGGGACCCCTAACAGCCCCCCAGCACCTCTCACTCCGCCCCCCCCACCCTGTATCTCTCCCCACCTTCCCCCTCTCCCACCTCCCCGACTCTCCACCTGCCTGCCTGCACCCGAGTGACCTGTCTGCACCTGCTGCAGACTCACCTGCAGGGACCGGTGAGGGCCAGCGCGGGGCGGTGACCCACCCAGAAGGGCCCCGTGGGGACCGAGTGGAGCCCACTTTAATGTCCTTCTCGCTGTCGCAGACCGTTCTGCATGGTTACTGCCTCAAGCTGAGGAGAAAGCGCAGAAACGGTGGGGAAAAACGGGCCTAAGCGATGATGCCCCGAAGCGCATCTGCACTCCTGGTTTTGCTCCCTTTGCTCTGCTCCCGGGGCTCTCGGCCAGCCGGAGGCTGCGGGATGAGAGGGGTGCCTGCGGCCGGGCGTGAGCGCGCGTGTCTGGTCCCCGCAGGGCGCCCCCTCCCTCCTCTCAGTTGCCTTTTCCTCCCTTTTCCTTCCCGTCTGCTCCCTCCAGCCTGACCGCGTCCGTCCAGATGACATAGATTTAGAAAATGAGCCCTGGTATAAATTCTTTTCAGAACTGGAGTTTGGACGCCCGGTAAGTGAGGCTAGACTCTTAACTCTGAGAAAATTAGGGGAATGTTGTTTGACTTACAAAACGCATCGTCCTCATCGGAAGGGAGAGGCATCGAGCGTACACGCAGATACGCAGGTTTGGAGCGGCTTAGCCCGCAGTCGCTTCTGTGGGAGACGGACCCCCGCTACATTGTCTTTCTTCACCACACTCTCGTGCACTAGGATTACTGTGTGTCCGTGCAAATTCAGAGTGACAGGTTTCTAGGCCTGTGCTTGTTCACAGTCCATTTTGGTCCAGTTCACTCAGAAGAGCACTGTGACGTTTTTAACAACAATAATGACTATCACTAGAGCCCCTGACTGCTGAAGACCCTGTAAGCGCCTGGAGACTGCCGGGCCTGTGGTCAGAGAGTCCTCACCATGTCTCTCTAATGAGAGGAAACCAAAGACCCGACGGGTCATATGTTAAGCACAGCCCCACCAAACACACAGACACAAAACCTCTGGGCAATTTCCACTATAATGCACGGCCAGAATATTCCCACCATAAAACACCTCGTCTAAAACACCTTAGGGATATAAGGGAAGGGGGGGAATAAGGAAACTCCGTGGGCCTTGATTTCTAGTTGCTACTGAAAGTCACCAAACCGCCACCAAAGGTGGGCCTTACGAGAACCACTCAGTCTGTTGGGCATAAAGAGTCAACCCAGGCCTCAAATAACAATTTCCTTGATCGACTCAGGTTTTATTGGGGAACTCTAGCCACCGACTGTGGTGCGTCTGCAGGGTGTCAGTTACATTTTTTGTTATATTTTACTGGTGTTTCTGAATTTTAAACTCTCAAAGGACATACTGATTATTATTACACTGCACAGACTTTTATTAAAGATCAGTGAGTACATCATTCTTTTGCCATATCATACATAGGCTGATTTATATGCTTATACACTAAACCGCATTTTTCTCCACTGGTGGTCCTGGTTGTCCCTTCTCTCCATTAAAACACAAAGAAAACTAGGTTAGGGTCCTATCTTATTGAACTGGACCAAAAGTGACTGTAAATGAATATAAACCAAAGAATTTTTCCTAGACTTTCTATGCCTGGTAGGAAGAATATTGTCTCCCATTTTTTTCTAATTTGCACCCAAATCGTCACCTAAATATATTTTATTTCAGAGAAAACAAATTCCTTAACTTTCTTTTTATATGTATTGTTATTCTTTTTTGGGGGGGATGTTTTTTATTTATTTATTTTCTAGAGAGGGAAGGGAGGGAGATAGAGAGAGAGAGAGAAACATCAATGTGCGGTTGCTGGGGGTCATGGCCTGCAACCCAGGCATGTACCCTGACTGGGAATCGAACCTGCGACACTTTGGTTCTCAGCCCGCACTCAATCCACTGAGCTACGCCAGCCAGGGCTACATGTATTGTTATTCTTGATTAGACAGCTTGTAGGGACTCTACCAATTTCTATTCTGAGCCTGAGTCACCAACATTTTTCTATAATCACTTCCAGCCACGCAGGGAAACTCACCAGCATGCTGTCCACTTGCCTGCCTGCTCTTTCAGTGTCTCCTTAATAACCCTGCAGTCCTCTGTGCCTCGAGACTAGGAGTGCTCGTTTGATGGGACGAAACGCATTGCTAAATACCCTAACCAAACCACCCGCCCCTGTGCCCAGTGCTCGCGAGTCTCTGCGGACCCAGCCCTCTCCCTCCCAGGCCACCCCCGTCGCGCTGCCTTCGCGTCACTCTGTGTGTGTACCCGATGCTGTCGTCACTCGGTTTCTAACTGTTGTCACCTTTTCCACATGTTCATTCCTTGCTGCCATTGACTCTCCTCCATTCCATCTCTGCACTCTGCTTCTGTGGTGCACCGACACCCAGCCTCCTAAAAAGGCTCTGGACTATGTGCAAGATCATTCTTCTGGTGTTTCCAACGAGGTAAAAGCAAATTATTCTCTCTTTTTTTTTTCCAGATTTCTCTCTTAGGACCTGTTACTGTGATTCTGAACATCTGTGTTTGACAGTTCACTGTAGTGTCTCAGCTATTTTTGAAAATCTGCCTTTGCATCATTATGTGATAACCAGTTTCACTCCTTGGACATTAATTGTACCAAAGGCCATTGGCTCTTTCTGAAATGGGGGTGAAGAATCGTTTCAGCCATAACTGAGCTGCGAGATTCAGCGCAGTCCTGGAATCCAGGAGTGTGATCATCAAAAATCAAAAGTAGGAGTCTTAGGGCGCATATGCAGCACCTGTTGTGATTAGACTAAAGCATCCCTTGGAGGCTTCTCAGAGCCATTTCAGCATCATGCATGGAGGTGCAGAATGACCCTTTAGATTCTTAGATAGTCAGATATTTATGCCCCATATATTCCTAAAATGCATTTTAATTCTTTCATTTTCTTAAATACAATTTGTGCATTTTAGCATCAGATAAAATCAAGAATAGGGCTGACCTGTATACCTGAAACTAATACAAAGTAATGTTAAATGTAAACTGTAATTGAAAAAAAATTGTTAAGCTAAAAAAAAAAGAATAGGGCTGACAAATAACTGGCACACATACCACAACTTTCCAGTTCCACACCCTTGACAGACATTACTAATCCTTCTCCACGCTGTAGCTCAGGCAGCCACTGTAATCTATCTCACTGGCATAGGACATGAAATGCATTTGCCACCTCTATTTAGAAATGTTCATGACCATCTGCTAGGAAAAAAAAATGCTCAGCAATGTAAAACTGTATTTGAATTAGTCCAAAAAAGGCACAAAAAAAAGGCAGAAATAATCCAGAGTCAAAGGTTTTTATGCTGCTCTTAGCAAAGAAAAATAAGACATTTTGGAAAGCAGACTTAGGACTCATCAATAACCAGCAAGAATGACAGTTTTGCTAAACATCAGCTCTATAAAAGCCTTCCTGTGGGAATTCTTAGGAGCAGCTAGGATGGTGTAAATAAACTGGTGAATAGTAGTTTCTCTGTGGTTCTAAGTAAATACAAAAACATTTAATAAATGTTTTACTTTCATTGAAAAGTCTTAACTCATTTAAGTATGTGCAACTAGAAAAAAAAATACAGCTAGTAGAGTGCCTATGCTGCAGGAAGTACTACTGACACATGCTGGTGAAAACTGGAATTGCAAGCACAGTTTCAAGGAAATAGCCAACTTGCTACAGATTCAATTTGCAATTCCAAATTATTTCCCCTGAGCTATGTATCAGAGTGTATGTTAAACAGAAGTAAGCAAAATATTTAGGTATTAAATTAAAAGTAAAATAGAATAATCAGGAACAGTCTGGGTTAGTGAATTCAGTCATTTCTAAACATGCATTTTTTTGTAGATGGGCATGTAATGTAAAGAAAATCAAATTCAACAAGCAATTCTATTTTTATGCTTTCCTCACATCTGAAGAAAGGGCATCATTTCAACATTTGAATAGCCCAAAATTTTACTTTGGAATTCAATTTGGTCAGATATTTCTTTCATATTCTGGTTACACATTTCTAGGTTGTTGTTTTTAAGGCAGCTGGTTCATTGAGAACTCAAATAGAATTTAGAGATCACTGTATCCAACTCCCTTATTTTTCAGTCAAGAAAAGTAGAGCTCAATTATTTTAGGAAGTAATCTTGCAAAAGCATATCCTGTCCAAAATCACACGGGTAGATGGTGGCAAATTAAAAATAAAACAGGTCTCTTAACCTTCACTTCAGAGCTATTTCCTTTATGCCACACTTCTTAGCACTTCCAAGAGATATCTATTTAGTGCTCAAATGGTTTTAGAAACAAGTTATGTACTTAATACTATTCCTTACTGACTATTGATTTCTGTTAAATTCCTGGGCTAACTATGGTAGAAACTTAATTCTGTGCATTCTGTATTGTGATGGTAGTGGTAACAAAAATCGTATAAAAAAGCACTTGGCTGATGGTTAAACTGATTTGCGGTTAATCTCTTTGGAGCTCTGAGGGGTGTTGTAGGACTCTGATAGCATATTAACTATGTTGTTAATTTCGTATCACGGCTTTTCAGAGTGCAAAAAGTACTTTGATAAGGTACTGCGTTTTGTAAAAATTGTAACTAATTAGACATTACCCTAGCTGCCATCAACTACCTAGTATCAAATGCCTAGAATATACCATGAACAAATTTTCTAATCCATAAATATAACCGAGAAACTGGAATTAATGAAGAACAGCTAAGGACTTCTAAGGAAAGTATAATCACATGATCGCTTAATAGAAAGAGTGAATGGATGCCTATACTTCATTAAAATGACCTTTGTTTAGGTCATTTTAAATGGTAAAATAATGGTGATTGTAACTACTCCGTAGATCATAATAGGTAAAATAGGTCACCTCTTTTCTGGAGACAGTTCCTGTTTCAGGATGAGTACCATTCATACAATCACATACAAAGTTTTCTCTTAGTCCTCGATGTAGACTTTTTACTGCTTTCTTAGAATTTAATACCGAATCTTTTCTTTTGAGCATACATAACAATCACACAATCCGTTTCCGTTTATTTTGGATTGTGGAAACCAACACAAGGAGGAATTATCATAGCTTCTTAGCCTGACTCTAAGACAAAAGGAAGTATAGAGCCTTTACTTTCTGTACAATGTTTTAATTCATATTACAGTATTATTTAGGCTCATCCCCAGTGGGAAATTCAGACTATTTGATCACTCTGGGGATGCTCTAGGAGTTCTCTGAAACTGACACTCCGAAAGATCAGCTGAGGTTGACCGCTGGCTGGCCCAGCACAGGGCATCCGTGCAGATGGAATGTTCTGGGGCTCTCTGGTGTTACTCTTCTGCAAACATGCACCATCAATATTTCTAAGCTGAAGTGTAAGCATCTGGTTTATTTAAGTAAATAAATAAATGCCTGCCTTCTTATTTAGTGTATATTTTTCCATTTTTCCAGTATGTGATTCATAGTTCAATGAGTTAAAATTATCTTGCAAACTTATCAGATCAGCAGGTCAAAGTTTTTCTAATTTTATATTTGTTGAAAACCTAAAAATCTAAGTGCTTTTTAGGAACTAAAATTTTTTGGATATGCTTTTTCTGCCTAACATGGAGGAAATATTCTCTTACAGAGGATGTTTTTTGTTTGTTTCTGGGCAAGATTCCATTCTCTTTAATAAGATGGAATTCAATGAAAATATAGCTGAATAGAAGCAATTTTAGAGTTTGTATAAAGGGGCTTGCCAGACTGATCTACATAAACAATCTTAAAATTATATACTAATATTTTAACTAGTTAATTGGTGCTAATTTACAAACAGAAGCTAAAGTTATAGAAATAGTTCTTGAAGTGTGGTTTAATTTTCACTAGTACTCTGGTAAAATATTTCTTAGTGGTAAGAAATTAAGAAAAACTGTCAAATTCTGCCTTTCTGGCTGACACTTACACATTCACATGGAAGAACATTTTCAAACTAGATTTTCTTCATCAGACCAATAAACATTTGTGACGAAATATTAATCACCAAATAACACCAAAGCCAAGACTACTTAGTATACATTTTCATGTGTATTCTAGACATCAGCATCACCTCCAAAATTGTAGAGTTCAATGTTGATTCTCTCTTGCCTTTTAGATATTTTAGCAATTATCCCAGTATATGGCCATGGGAAGTGAAACATTCTTATGGAACATTTTTGCTTACTATCTATTTCACTGTACTGTTCAGAATGAAGGAGTATGAAAATGCTGTATATAATAAGCATTTGGAATTACTTACCAATTTGTATTTTCTATTTTTCTTTGTTCCTACAACCATGGACAACTGAGAGTTGATTTTCTAATGAAAATGTTACAAGTCAACTTTTTTTATGAAAAGGCTGTATGTGGGTTCATTAAATCATTTATTTTAAACTAACCTGGAATGTAACTATTTCAAAGATGCAATCTGTACCTGATTGAAGTACCAGCAGTTTAATATCAAACCAGAGGCTGTGGTTTTTATTCAAATGTCACATCTATATTGACAGACAAAAGGTGTCTCAAGTCCTGCCGACATGCTAGGTTTTAAAGATAATGCCTGGCAGCATGACAAAAAATATGTAAAGAAAGTTTGTGTTTTAAAATAATTGAGGGACTACCAATTTGAAAAATATCAAACCATTCCTTTATGTAGGAAATTTGTACTTAGAAGCAGTTTCCTTCAGGGAGGAGTGGTGATTGATTTCTCCTGTTTCCCCAGCATTGAGGTTGTAAGTAATTTGGGTGAAACTGACAGGTACAGTGTGGTCTCTCAGAAGGGGGAGCAGATAGGAAGAAAGGAGAAACCAGGTTGGCAGGATTGCTTTGGGGGAAGACACTTTTTACCATCATGACGAATGGTGCTTTTAATCTCAGTTTTTACACTGTTCTTTTTCTAGCATACCTAATTTAATGTTCGTGGACAAAAGAAATGTTGCCGCGGTGAAAATGTTCACGATACGATTGTTCTGTCTCCACAGGCCTCCTTGTATCAATCCTCTATAGACAGGAGCCTGGAAAGACCCAGTAGGTAAGAATGTTACCACACTACACACCTGGAATGTTGTGGACCAGTGGTTTCTCTTTCAGCAATAGAGTGATGAGGATTACGGATCCTGTTCTTATTTCAGCGCCATAGTTCATGAAGTTGTTTCCTTCTGTTTCTGCATCATTGTATATGGTCACATTCAAGGATTTATAAAAGTCCAGTGAATAACTTTGGAATGCTTTATAGACTGAGAAATCCTTCCCTTCCTTGTGTCCTCTATAACCAGTTTTTGTTTAAGTGGGCATTGTCAACATTTAATCTTTAATATTTTTATGATATGTATAATGTACTTGAAAATTTTTATAAATTATGTTCTATGCATATTTGTTCATTACACTCTGACCACATAAGTCAGAATTACAGTTACTACCAATAAGTGGGGATTTACTCTATACCGGGTATTCTAAGTACAGAAACACATTTAACCCTAAGACACCACTCTGAGTTAAGTGCCATCACCCCCGTATTATCTCTGAGCACACTGACACTGGGGCGCCATGACGTACTGAGTTGACACAGTTGACAAGGAGCAGAGACAGGGGAGACTCGGACCACAGTAGCTGGTAGCCGACCACCGGCCCTGCCTTACGAGGCTGCCGAGGTAAGTTCTGTCGGTGGGCTCTGAATACCGCACTTTAAAACATTACAGAAACGCAGACACAGCTCAGCAGCAATACTGAATAATTCAAACACTGCCAGCCACGCTGTGTCGTCAACAACACATACCCGTAGTTATGTAACATCAATGTTCCCTTCTGTGGATTTCTTTTGACATAAGTAGGAAACCTCAAAAATTGGGCTCCTGAGTGCCACCAACATCACTAACGTCCCTGAGAAAGGACCGCCTCCAGCTCCTCCTTGTAGATCTTTTTCCGTCTACATGTGCACCTAAAATGTTGGAGTTTCAGCCTTCTAATCTAACCTGCGGTTGCTGTAAAGACACGCAGACCCTCCCATGACAGAATAATGACAGTGAGACAGGTCTAGGGGAAGGGGGGCATCCTCTTTTGAAGAGGCAGCCAGGTGCTGAGGTCCGGCCCCGCCACCACACTTGGGGTGGGGTGTGTTCCCCTCACTCACGCGTGGAACAGGGGCAACGCGGTGGGGACAGGAGACACTGACGGCAGCCGAGCAAACAGCACGCCGCTGGCTCACAGGAGCCGGCGTGCGTGTGCTGCTGCCGTGGATGCCACCACGCCTGAGGTTCGACCGTCGGCGTGCTGTGTGATGTGTGCCCCCTCCACCAGCGTCTCATATGATGCTACGCCAGACGCAGAACCATGATAAAAACGTCCTGCCGTTACGACTGCTGACACCACTCAGGACAGCTGGGGGACAGGACTCTCCAGCGGTTTATTTGCTGACTAAATCGTGGGTCGCCATGACTCCAACAGGAAAACCCTGGAATCCCAGTGTGAGGTTTTTAAAGCTAAGCTCCTTAGGAAGAACCCCGGGGAAGTCCTGGGGTGAGACATTTGTCTCACCCGCTGTCTCCCTCCCTCCCAAGCCTTTCCTCCGTCTCGGCATCCCTCCTCGGGGTGTGTTCCTGCTATGAGAACTCTTCCTTAGGGGGAACAGATACGGGACACCAGCCCCAGGACTGCGTTGTCCGTTGTAACCCTTCACACTCATTGGAGATTGTTAACTTTAGAAGACGATTATAGACTCATCTCCACACACAAACCTGCACGTGAATGTTTACAGCAGCTTTGTCCCTGCTTGCCTACACTTGGAAGCAGCGAAGACATACTTCGGTAGCTGAACAGATAAACACATTCCGATCCACCCACATAATGGAATATTATACAGTGATAAAAAGAAATGGGCTATTAGGAAAAAAACACAGAGAAATCTCAAAGGCATGTTGCTAAATGACTGAGGCCAATCTGAAAAGGCTGCAGACTGTAGGTTCCCACTGTGTGACATTCTGCAAAGGGTAACGCTGTGGAGGCAGTAAAAAGGTCGTTGCGGGGAGAGCGGTATGAAGAGGCAGAGCACCTGGTGGTGGCGGGCGTGGCACATGTTACGGCAATGACACTGTTCCGCAAGGTGCAGTAGTGATGGACACATGTCATTCCATATTTGCCAAAACTCATGGAAGGTTCAACAGGAAACATGAACCCTACATAAACTATGGACTTTAATTGCATGCGATGATAATGTATCCGTTCGTTCATCCACATCACAAATGCCCCACACTAATCGGGAATGTCAATAGTAGGGGGAGCTGTGCGCAAGGGAATGCATGGGACTCTATGCTTTCCGATCCCCTAGGACTGCTCTAAAAGAATAAAGTCTTTCAAAAAAGATTTAAAGAGATGATTGTAAAGAAATAGTGTTTAATATCAAGGAGTGAGTGCTTAAACATGCAGTTTGAGGGAGGGATATAATAAATAAGAGTTATGACCCTGTTACTAGCACATTCCACCGGCCCTTCCGCTTCATGGTGACCTTCTCCAGCACCGACCACACTGAAGCTGCTTCCTTCTTTCAGCTCTGCCAGCCTGGCCAGCGACTTCAGGAAACGGAGGAAGAGTGAGCCCGCCGTGGGGCAGCCGCGGGGCCTGGGGGACCCGAGGGCGAGCCGGACCAGCCCGGTGCGGGCGGACCTCCCGGGATCCAGCGCCACCCTGTCGCAGCCTTTCATCAGTTCTTCCCCTTCCTCCCCATCCAGAGCAAAAGGTAAACAGCAGTAGGCCGGAGTGTAAACAAGTTGCTAGTTCAAGCTTTAACCTAGAGTGCCGTGGGAGAGCGGGTCCAGTGATAACTCTCCAGAGATAGTTAGCGTTTACGTATAGTTTTGGAGCAATAGCTTTGTTCCTACACAGGGATGAGCTCAGGTTGGTCAGCCCCTGGAGCAGCAGCAAGGACTCTGTCACCTGTTGATACTTGTTTTTCTTCTAAATAGATCATTTGTGGCTTTGTGAGGGAACAAATGCAAAGCATCGAATAACTTATTGTCAGGCCATGAAAAGATTACACTTATAAACATTTGCATATTGTCAAATTTTTCTAATGTTATGCAGCTAGCAAAATCAAGCAAATTTCTAGCATAGGAATTAGAAGTAGCAACAGAGAACATTGTTGCCTAACACATAAACTGTGTTTTTTAAATTATTTAGTTCTGGATAAAATGTGTCTAACCTGTGAAGTCATTTTGTGAATCATCTGCTGTATATTTTGGTCAAGAGTCATATGTACAGTAGAATATCCATGTTCTACTAGTAATGTAACGTAGGGTTCAATCCATGCCAGTAGAGCAGTAAGAACTTACTGGGTTTTAGCCATAATTATAACGTTTAGGCACCACCAAGCCCTTTTCCTGACTGTCTCCCCTGCAAATTCAAAGCAAGTCACTCCCTCAAGGCCCTGACCTACTACTGAGTGCGTTACTGCCGCCATAACAGGCATACTGCTAAGGTGCAGACAGAGGACCGGGCCAGCGTCGCTGGGCACCTGGGTCGAGACCCGAGGTGGGGCTCCACAGCCTCCTCAGTCTCCTGGGGTTGAAACGGAACAGAGCAGGGATCTCAAGTGGGTGAAGAAGGCAAACTTTAACAGACGTTTCCATGAAATAGCACAGATTCAGCTACATGTAACCAACGTAGGCACTGGAAGTGTTCCCACATGGTAGCTCAAGGAGAGAGGCAGCTGGTCTGTGTGCAAAAGACGGGCTGGCTGATGCTTAGAGCCTGGATGAGCGGAAGACACTAGCTCTCGTCCATGCCCTAGGGGAGCTGTGATTACTGTTTCATGATAACTCTCCTCTAATTAAAGTATCTTGATCAGAACCTACTAATTATGCAAATATTTATTTCTTAAGGTAACCCATGGGTGATAAAATGCCATTGATTCATTATGTGTGGATACCACCCAAAAGTTAGAAGAGTTCTGATGGATTCGGATGCCTGTTTTTATCCTAGGAAGTGTTAAGGCCACCTCCTTTCCCAAATACTACGTATCTACTTATTTGTGTGGCCATCTACTTTTGAAGGTTTGGGGAGGATTATAAGGCAGGAGCTATTAATAGGGATATTTTCTTCTGCTAGGTTTATGTCTAAAAAGAAAATATGCCCTTAGATGTATCTGGCCTCTCCCTTATAAGTTAACTCAGCAAAGCAAAAGAAAAGAGTATTTCCATATATATTCCAAATTGAGGCTGTGCTTAGATCTCTATCTATTATCAATTTGTGAGTGAGTTTTTAAAAAGACCCTCCCTGGAAAAAAGCAAGATGCCTTTAGCACCGACGAAAGTTTTACATTATATTCAGTTATCCTCAGGAGGACCTGCCTAGTAAAAGTTTCTAGGTAGAGCAATTAAAGAGGTAAATTTGTCTTGTTTAACAAGATGCTAGTTCTCGTTTTCTTGGGAAAATGTTACCAGCAATAGTTGGTAGCATCTTGATTTTGCAATTTTCGGAAATACTTTGTCTTTTTCTATCTAATACCCATGAGAAATTAATTCATATAGTTATGGGAGTTTTAATTAAATGGAAATTGATAAATTACGCTTTGCCTATTGTTATATTTCAAAAGAGATTCAAATCCTGGCCCTATTAAGTTGATTATATCACTTTTGGCATTAATGCTCAACGTTTTAATTACTGCCAAGTCATGCTATTAGCTTATAAGATACTATTGCATTTGGGGTATATAATATTTGCAGGAAGATGTATAAAGCATTCCATAGAAACAGGCGTATTATCTACACCCATTACTTTTTATGCATGGTTTTTAAACTCTAATCTCTGTAAAGCTGCATTCATTGCAAAGTATCATCACGCTTTAGAATTAGACCTTTTCCCCCCAAGCTGAAACTTCCCCCGTGACGGTGGGTGTCTCGATTAAAACCGTGCCGCCTTCTCTTTGCTCTGCTCTCTGATGCTAACTGACTGTGCTCTCCTCTTTGTGAAACTTTTAACTTCTCCACGTGTCTCTCTTCCACCACGCTGCTCTGGATGTAAAGGTGGGGATGATAGCAAAATGTGTCCGTCCCTTTGCAGTTCCTCAGGGCTCCCCAGTAGCGCCTCGCAGGAGGCGGAGGACTGTAACGCCCACGGGCAGCACCTGCACGTCCCGCGGGACCCGCAGCGGGCCGCCGCCTTCAAAAACGGCTGGCAGATGGCCCGGCAAAACGCAGAGGTCTGGAGCAGCACGGAGGAGACGGTTTCCCCCAAAATCAAGTCCCGCAGCTGCGATGACCTCCTCACCGACGGCTGCGACAGCTTCCCGGACCCGCAAACCAAGTCGGAGAGCCTGGGCTCGCTGCTGTGCGAGGAGGACGCCGCGGGCGGCTGCCCCGGCCCGTGGGCGGCCGCCTACCTCCCGGAGGGCCGCGCCGGCGACGGCCGAGCCCGGCTGCGCCACCACCGGTCGGCCCACGACGCCCCGGGCTTCCTCAAAATGTACAAGAAAATGCACCGCATCAACCGCCAGGACTTGATGACCTCCGAGGTGATCTGCTCCGTGCAGTCGAGGATCCTGCAGTACGAGAACGAGCCGCCGAGCCGGGGCCTGCTGCACGCGTGGGGCCAGTGCTCCGCCGAGGAGGTGCCCAGGGACATGGTGCCCACGCGCATCTCCGAGTTCGAGAAGCTGATCCAGAAGTCCAAGTCCATGCCCAACTTAGGGGACGAGACGCTGTCCCCCGCGATCCTGGAGCCGCAGCACAACGGGCTGCGCCCCAACAGGCGGTTTTCCATCGAGTCCCTGCTGGAGGAGGAACACCCGAGCCGGCGCCAGCGCCAGGCGCCGCCGGGCCTCCAGCCGCAGGCCCTGGTGCCCATCCACATCGAAGTCACCAGCGACGAGCACCCGAGGCCGCGCGTGGAGTTCTCCGACAGCGACCAGGACGGCATGGTGTCGGACCACAGCGACTGCGTGCTCGTGGAAGGGTCGTCCTTTTGCAGTGAGAGCGACTTCGACCACTTCTCTTTCACGTCCTCCGACAGCTTCTACGGGTCCGGCCGCCACCAGCACCACCACCACCACCACCACCACCACCGGCACCTGGTCAGCTCCTGCAAGGGCCGGTGCCCCGCCTCCTACACCCGGTTCACCACGATGCGAAAGCACGAAAGGGCTAGACACGGGACCGCGGAGGAGCCCCGACGGCAAGAGCTGGACCCCGGCCTCTCCAAACTGGCCTTCCTGGTCAGCCCCGTGCCTTTCCGGAGGAAAAGAAACTCGACTCCCAAAAAACAGCCTGAGAAGGCCAGGTGTAAAAAGTCTGTGTTTGAGGCCCTGGACTCTGCCCTGAAGGACATCTGTGACCAAATTAAAGCTGAAAAGAGACGGGGGAGTCTGCCGGACAACAGTATACTGCACCGCCTGATCAGCGAGCTGATGCCCGACGTCCCCGAAAGGAACTCGTCCCTCGCGGCTCTAAGGAGGAGCCCCAGGCACCAGCCTTTCCACCCGCCGCCTCCAGAGGGCGCTACTCCCTGTCCGTGGTACCTGAATGACTGTGGGAGAATGCCTCACAGCGCCTCTCTGCAGGACATGGACCCCAATAACAACTACCACCTCCAGGGCCACGACAGGGCCCTGAGTCTCCAAGGTGGATGAGCCTTTCTTTGTTTCTCCCTGTGGTGCAGACACCCACCCTCCAGCTCCTTCATTGTCCATTCCTCCATCTCCTCACCCCCGCGCTGGGCGGCCACCCGGCGTCTGTGTTGTGCAAACATGTCTCACCAAACAGGTCTCATCTGCCCATGTGACGTTTGGACTCCATGCATGGCTTAAAGTGATCACCAATTCACAAAAATTTACTCACTCGAAATCAAAAGGGACAGCGATTTTTGTAGCTTAATGTTAGGGTTGAAACATCTGTCAGGCACCATGACCCAAGAAATTAAGCCTTCTGCCAATTTAAAAAAGATTTCAGGACACATTATAATTGAATATCAGTACCCTTAAGAGATTACCAACTTTGCATTAGCTCTTTTATTGTTGGAAACTGAGTCAAAACCAACAGTTTAACCAATAGTCTTTTCCTTGATTTTTTTCACTTTGTAGTCATTCACTCAACAAATAATTTGCTCATATTCTATATAGAAGATACTATTTCAAAACACTCAGAAAGCAAAACTGAAATATGTAATGAAGTAATTAGTGGACAATTAAGTGAGAGTAGGATTTATGTATCATTTTCTCCACTTAGAGGACACTGCTGGGATAAAATTTTTGTGAATGTATCTTTAAGCTGTAGACCTGTAAAAGTCTCATTTCCATCACTCATCGTATTCATTTTCTCTCCCATCCCATCACCTAATTTATTAATTTTCTATCTCTGCTCACACAATTCTATATTGATATTTGAATTAGATCATTTAGGGTTAAAAGTGACTCAACTCTGTTTTCATAGATTATCGCTCTGAAGTGGCAGCACAAAGAAAAATAAGAACTCAGGTGCAGAGGACATTTTTTCTGAGGTTTACAAGGTGTTTTGTAACTGTAAAGGACAAGGTGTTTTGATATCTCTACACAATTATTTTCATTAACTCTTAAGGTACTTCTGTTCCCTATGTAAATTCTTAAGAAGTCAGAATAAGCATTCCAGGCTGAAGCCTGGATCATCAATAGGGAGTCTTCTATGCACCAGACATTGAAAAATGTTTTACATTCATTGTCTAATTAGTACTGGCATAAACCCAGGTTACAGGTATTATGATGAGCTCTGCTTCTCAACTGAGGAAACTGAGACCCAGAGAAGACAGAAAACTTGACCAAGACCACCCAGAGAGAAGGGAGCAGTGACAGATTCAAACTCTTAATACTCCAGAATTTGTTATATGGAACATAATCTCTACAGGCACAAAAGAGTCATAATTCAAATGTCATATTAACATATATAGCTCAATTGTTATTATTGCACAATTTACTATGTTAGTAGTATTGATCTTTGCTCCACTATACTATACTATATACTATAGTATATACTATATATACTATATATACTATACAACATGATTCAAAAATAATAAATTGGAATTTTTAAAAATCGATTTCTACAGTTTGAAATTTTCGCTGACCATGACATGTCAGAATTTAATTTTTTTAGTAAATGAGCTACCTTTTCCAAGGTTTCAAAATTACAGTTTAACCACCTCTCAATTTTACATGCATATAGAATATATACTATTATTGAAACATAATTTGAGAGATCTTTGAAATGCATTTAAAGGGTATTTCATATTTTAATAAAATATTTACTTTTCCAATGGTGTTTAGCCCAAGTGAAAGAAAAATAGTTTATATTCCATGGGTTAGTAGAAGTAATTTAAAATTTACAATCACTATGGGAGCCCTATGATCATAAAAGTAGGTTAGTTTACAATGAAAGAATAGACTGCACACAATCCCCTAGCATTCATGAAAATAACTGGTTACATTTACCTAAAACATTTATGGCTACATTACCTTCCAAAGACATTTATCTTCATCTGTCATGTGACTGATATCCCAGCTGCTGTGAGTACACAGTTCTTCCTCATAAACAAAGTAGTCAAAACCTTTCAACAATGTTTTTTTTAATTAATCAGCAACTTTTCATTCCTTTACAGATGGATTTAGCTTCTAATGAATGTTGCTTGTTATTCAATAGAACTAAATTTATTAAAGGGATAAGAGAAAGGATTTACAAGTTTTGACCCAGTTAGACTAGTAAAATTTATTACTGGGGTGCTTTCAGCCTCCGCTTCCACTCCCACATGTGAACACGCGAGGTGTAAGACGCCACAAAGAGGTCCTTGCAATAACTCTGTACAGCCATTACTTATTGACACTTCTTTTAGGGAGACCAAAAACAATTCAATATTTCATAAGCAATTCGGTGACCAGTAGGACATTTTCTGTTTAGAGAATTTTTATCCCTTTGTTTACTTTCTGATAGCCAGTTGAGCCCAAGGAAAGAACAGAGATCAGGCCTCTTAAGCATTGAGCCTCAAGATGACATCTCAAGACTTAATAAATATTTAACAACAGAGAGAGAGAGAGAGAGAGAGAGAGAGAGAGAGAGAGCGTGATCACAGTTCTGTCGTCCTTTCTTTTTCTCTTCCTTTTTTTTACTACATTCTTAAACTGTTGTTCCACAAAATGTTTCAGTTTCTGTAAATTATTGCTCTTCTCCATCTTCTATAGATCTTATAATAGTAATTATAAATTGGAGGCAAAAAGAATGGAAATTTAAAAAAAATATTGCGAAGTCTTTGAGACGAAAAATCCTTCCAACTATGAACTTGCTGAACCAGATGCTGCTGTGTAATTACACAGCAATGCAGCAATTGTATTTGTATGTATGGTTATAATACTTCTGAATCCTCAGATTTTTTTTTCCTTTTAAAACGCTCTGTTTTTGTGTCTGATGTCAACTCTATGATTACCTGTGAGTTTTATACCCATGCTCTCCATTGTGGTGTCTCTCCATATTTAAGGGGGAACATCGTTGCCACCCGGGAAAATGGCTAAGCAATCAGCTTTTCCTAGGTGGGTACTCACTCTGGCCCTGTCCTTTCCGACAGACCGCGAGTCCCCTAGAAGTTACTCATCCACTTTAACTGACCTGGGGAGAAGTGCACCAAGGGAAAGAAGAGGAACTCCAGAAAAAGAGGTAGTTAGTTACATAGCATTTGAGTTTGGTTTGGTTTTGGTTTTTTTTTCAACAAGATACTTAATAATGCACCTGCCAGGCCAAGTTACATCGAAAACCAGTAAAGAACCCAGATTAAAAACATGAAAATGACAACTGAGAAACTTAGAATGTTTTCCTTGGAGCCTGAGCCAAGGGCCAGAGTGGTGCAAGTTCGGACCCTGGCTGCAGGTCTCCCCCAGCCGCAGTCCAGCCGTGGCAGGGAGGCCCCTGCACCTTGACCGCACACCCATGAGTTAACAGCCGTGGTCTAAAGGAGCCCCGAGCTGGGCCACTCGTGGAGGAAGTGAGTTTCCCTTGCGCAAATTCCTGGCCCAGGGATGTACGGCAGAGCACTGGGTCAACTATACCGCAAATCAGTGCAAAGTCTACATAAGTCAGTTTTGCTGCCCTACTTTTGTTGGAGAGGATCCCTCAAAAACCAGTGTCCCTGGGAACCACCTGCCCACTGGCTCTGGGACCAGTGCCCTGAGCCAGGCTGCCTTGGGCCGGGAAGGTCCGATGGGGTCTGGAAGCTGGTCTTGGACTGGACGCCCCTCCAGGAGTATCTCTCTAGGTGTCGGGTATAGGCCTGTGCCTGGAGGTCCCCCATAGAAGTCAAGAATGGCCCAGGTTGCCTAAAGCCCCCAGACTCACAGGGAGCAAGAGTGGGATGAGGGGATGATTGGGACGGAGGGAAAGAAGAACTGGAAGAGCTCACTTATAGGTGCCCCGGTCAGATCTTCAGGCCCCAGGGGTTGGGGGAGCACACGTCCTGTCATGGCTAAAAGATGAGGTGCTGGTTTACAGGATGCCAAAGAATTCTTGAACCCTGCAGGGAATGCAAGATCACCAAGCCTGTGCGCTTGGCCACTAACCAGCCTCCCAGTGGCAACGGGGCTAGTATTTCCTTGCCGTTGTGTTCAGAAGTGTTTAGAAAAGGGGATGCCGACTTGTTCCTCTCGCCAATCCTTGTATTATGATTCAGAAGGAGCTGCGTCAATCCACAAGACGTAGATCAACGGACTTCCCACAGTTATCCCAGGAAGTGCTTTGGTTACAGCCAAAATGATACCGAGGACCGCATCCCCCATGGGTATTTCATTCCCCAGTTCTGCCACTCACCTGCTTTCGTTACTAAAATGAAATAAGATCTTCCATAGATATGGTGACAATAAGCATCCATTATTGTCCTGCTGTAGCTTAAAGACCTAAGTGAGGAACTGATTGATTTATTCATAGCTTGCATATAGAATTTACATTATACTTTTCATCATGCCTTGAGGTTTCACTTCTAGTTAATTCACACGAAACTGCTTTCTTGTAGGAAATCCAAATTTTAAGTTAGTGCTAATCATTTGCCTTCCTTTTTAGAAACTGCCTGCAAAAGCTGTTTATGATTTTAAGGCTCAGACATCTAAGTAAGTAAGACAAGTATTCATCATATGATTTAAGTTGGCTTTAAATGTTTCAGTAATACTTTAATAGACAAATATTGCAGTGGGGTGTGTTACAAATAATTCAGCAATCCACTCTAATTAAATGGTTCCCTCTGAGTTCACTGGGATGTGGGTAATTTTATTTTCATTTTGCTTTCAGTTGAGAATCATCGCGTTTTAAATTACACTAAACATATCACAGCCCGATGAATTCAAAAGGATAGGTTAAACAAAAGAGAAATTAAGGATCTTTGTTTCGGGAATTTTCACGTCAAGAAGGAATTAAAAATAAAGCGCTGGGGAGTAATTAACACTTCCTGGGAGAATGTGACAACACTTATTTATCCAGCTATACCGAGGACGGTTTGTGGGGCTGAAGACTAGAACTGTGCACGGAGATGCTGGTGGTAAAATCTCCAGGTCTCAGCACTCAGAGCTTAGAGATTCTGCACAGAGTTCTCTCCTGGGGTCTTTTCACGTTGGTGTTTTTATACTCCTGTGTCGTAATTTTTTTTTTACCTCTTTCCTTTAGGACCTTGTTCATCAGATGGGCATGTGGGTGAGGAAAGTTAGCACCAAGGCCAGGAGTGAGCTCGAATGGGAGCCCGTGCTGGCGATGGCCACTGTTCAAAATGGCAGGGGTGGGGGTGGGGCTAATCACAGTGGGACTAGCAACTCTAGCCCTGAGCTGGGAGGGCCACGACTCCGAAAACTGTGACGTGAGCCTACTGTCCTTTATCTAGGTGGCTGCAAAATTTTACATACGAGGCCTTCACCAATAGGAAAGACTTCTTTTCTTAATCAAAAGAAAAATAACCAGTTGTCTCTAATTTACAAGTTTGTTTTCTTTTTAAAAGCTAAGCTTCCTGTCCTTGTTTGCAGAAACAAAACAGACCTGGCACAAAGAAAACTGCTGGATTGTAAACATGAAATGTTTTGTGTGGTTTTTTGTTTTCCGCATCAGGCATGGGCACGACAGAGGGAAGTAGTGTGTGAGGATGTGAGGGTCTGTGAATCTTCCTTGTCTTCAGGGTCACCGAAAATTTAACGCCCTTTCAACGTGAAGATTTTAGCACTTCTAAATGTGTAATAATTCTTTTAATATGCAATGGTTATTTCAACTGCATCTTTTTAAAAAGGTTTTATTTAGTTATTTTTAGACAGAGGGGAAGGGAGGGAGACCGACAGGGAGAGAAACATCAATGTGTGGTTGCCTCTTGCGTGCCTCGCACTGGGGGACCTGGACCGCAACCCAGGCATGCGCCTTGACTGGGAATCGAACCGGCAACTTTTGGTTCATAGACCAGAGCTCAATCCACTGAGCCACACCAGCCAGGGCTCAACTAAATCAATAAGAAATATTGAGTGAATCAATAAGAAATATTTCACATGTGATATATACCTCTTTCCATTAAATATTTCACACACAAAAATGATCCAACTCAAGATTCTGAACTAAACGCAGAGGATTTGGAGTGGGAAGGCAGACGTGTAGGGAAGTAGGGATCTTGGGAAAATCCATGAAGCAAGACACCTGACACAACTGTGGAGGCAAAATACCACACAGACACAATCACCCGCGTGATGGAGCCGCAAAAAAACAATCAAGAGAAAGGGAGAATTGAGTCAGGGGTTACTTGAAATGAGTAACATCTTTACAACTTGAAACAAAATACCCAACATACCTAATGTCTTAGAAAGAACCCAAATGGAAAAGCAGACAATCTTGAAAATATTTTTATTCTTTAAAAAAAGTGTAAGGAAGGCATCAAGCAATCAGTGCATGTCTTTGCATGCACTGAAATAAGTTTATCTTTGTGCCCCACTGAAAAATAAGAGTATAAGATCTTTTCTATTTCACAAAATAAATTCTTCATCAAGATAGCCTACTTAAATGCCTGCCAATCCACTTTAAAAATCCAGAAATAAAAAAAGCTTTTCTGGTGTTGGTATTTCTGTGCTAAGGTAAATGATATTTATTTTCCTTATTATAAGCTTTAGCATGTGAAAAGGAAGCCGGGGGGGGGGAGAGGAGCAACTCACTAACTCACTAGCTCACTAGCTTCAGGAGAAAATACATCAATACAAAATTAATCCATTCTTATGCCAAGCTTTATAGCTTCTTAGCTGTAAACTAATGGCTAGATAATGATAGCCTGTCCCCACCTTTAAACTTCATATTAATCTTCCTGTGATTTCTAGCAGACATGATGCTTATACCTGTTCTTTTTGAAACCATTTCTACAGTTACAATGCCGTAAGTGAATTTGAAACATTTGTAAGGGAAATCCTTCTCCGACTGGGCTCCACAGATTTCCTTTTTAATGTAGGACGTGTGTATCTCCCAGCCAAATGCCGGTCTAGTGATCTTAAGAATAATTGCTCTGCATCGAGCAAAACCCGCCTGCACACGTGTCTTCCAGGGAGCTGTCGTTTAAGAAAGGAGATACGGTCTACATCCTCAGGAAAATCGACCAGAATTGGTACGAGGGGGAGCACCACGGGAGAGTGGGCATTTTCCCAATCTCATACGTAGAGGTGAGTCTTTGCCCTTCCTGCGCATGTGGTTGCTAAGTCCAAAGTCCTGCCGGGTCGAGAATAAAGAACTGTTTTCCTCCCAGAAACTCACACCTCCTGAAAAAGCACAGCCCGCAAGACCACCGCCCCCGGCCCAGCTTGGAGAAATCGGAGAAGCTATCGCCAAATACAATTTCAACGCGGACACAAACGTGGAGCTCTCACTGAGAAAGGTAACCTGGTTGCTTTCTTCGCGGGGGCAGCGAAAGGAAGGCGGTGTGTTTGCAGAACATTTTCATGGTTTTTGTGTTTGCCCTAAAGAAAGGACAAAGGCCTCCCTGAGGCTCCCTCTGTCCAGCTCAGGTCCCTGTGGGACTTAGAGCTTCTCAGAGAGACTGTCCCTCTGGTGCAGCCGGGAGGCCCCCACCCAGGCCTCTCCAAGGGGGGCCTCGGCCTGCACCTCAGGGAGTGATACGTGTCGCCAAAAGGAAACGCACTTCAATATACTTCAACATATTGCTGTTCTACCGCCTTATTATTAGATTTTTACAATTTTTAAATCACGAATACTTTTATGTTGGACCCAAGGAAAGTTCCTAAAGTCTTGAAGATGCTTCTTCCTGGAGGCCTCAGGACCGACCCAGATTTCACTAGCGACCGACCCAGTTCTCGCTCCTCTTCTCCACAAGCAGGAGAAGAACTCTGGGTCGCTTGCTACTTCACACAGATGGGAATGATTCCATGGACTGCTTTCATTGTTTGCTAAGCGATCACGTGTGTCTGTTCGAGGTCACTGCGCATGTGCCCGGCCCAGGCTAGGTAACAGTAAACATGCAGGGAGGCTCCAGAACCCCTCCCACCTGCTAGGGAACGGCTGGCCGGGAGCAATGAAGGGAAATCTCGAGTTCTTGTCCTGGTGCTAGACCCTCAGCTCCCCCAGGAGTCCTGGGTGTGCACCATCAACTGATTCTCTTCCACCCTCCAACCTGCAACACAGCACTCCATGAACTGTATCAGCTCATGTTTCATACCTGAAAGAGAGGCTCCAGCCAATGCAATTTGTAGCTCCAGCAAAAGCCTAGCGACAGCCCCGTCTTGGTGTATTACAGAGAAAATCAGTGCCACTTTTAAGATACAGGGAGATTCGCTTTGCTGTGGTAATGTTCTGCGCAGTGGTGCTGGGACAGTCTGTAAAAACCATCCAGCATTTTGGCACAGAGAGAATTTTCACCCTGAGGACCGCCTGACGAAGGCCTCCCTGCTCTACCGAAGTCCCGACCTCGTGTCACCTGTATCGTCCTGTCAGGCACAGCTGCCCCAACAGCCACATTATCTGCTGCATGCGGCTGCAGGGTTTTACTGTCTGGCCACACCTTGTCTATTTCTGGGCCGCATGTGGCTTTGAGTTAAAATGTAAACTGTGCTCAGTGGCTTGGCTTGGTCACTGCAGGCAGGTAGGGAGAACAGTGGTCGTGGAAAGGTCTGGCATTCCACCAGCCAGGAGTTTTACCGGAATGTTTAATGGCCACGGCGGCATGACCACCCAACACTCAGAATGGATGCTGGTGTCCCGTTGTCCTGATGCAGACCAGGCAGGTGTCAGCGCTGGCCACAGGGAGGGCATCTCAAGTTCACTGCTGCCCCAGTCCTTTAGCTTCACTCTATGTTACCAGTTAGCACGTCCAGGTCAAGTAAGAAAAACGGTGCGCCATTCACCCTCACCTGTGCTGGAGATGGGCTTCTGCGGCCCATTCCAGACACTCCGCCACAGAGGGCTGAGTCGCTCCCTTCTGAGGCTCCCCCGATCAAGGGTCCCTCTCCGGAACCCATCAGTGATAGGACGATGATGCTAGTGTCTCCGACACATTGTACGAAACCCTTCTGCTCTGCAACGTAACTTACACAGTCATGTCACGTGGGCCCAGTATGAACACGCCCAGGCCCATTAGCATCCGCCAGGCAGCCTGCGGGAAGGGTGTGGCGAGCGGATGATTCAGCTGATGAGCTGCGATGTGGGAAGGGACTCGGAGACGTCGGTTGCGTCCTCCTGACTAAATAAAACCGGAGGTATACATGCTTTCCCAAATGGAACACTATAGTTGGTTAGAAAGCATTGACAATTATATGTCTCATGTTATCTCACCTCTATTTATAATGCATTTTCCTAATATTCATTACAGGGAGATAGAGTTATTCTTCTCAAAAGAGTTGATCAAAACTGGTATGAAGGTAAAATTCCAGGAACCAACAGACAAGGCATCTTCCCTGTTTCCTATGTAGAAGTCGTCAAGAGGAATACCGGCAAAGGTGCCGAGGACTACCCCGACCCCCCCATACCCCACAGCTACTCAAGCGATAGAATCCACAGCCTAAGTTCAAACAAGGTAAGAAGACATTTAGCGCATGAGTGTAACATTTGAGAGCTTGCAGGAAGACATTCAACAGGCGATTGGAGGGCATTAGGTTACACCACCGTCTTTATTGCAAAGCAAAAGATTTACGTGCTATGCTTCTAAGTGTGAGTGACAAATCAAGACAATGGAATTTAATTTTTCTTACGGGTGCTGGCGTAAAGGTTAAATGCTTGATTTTGCGGATTTCATTTTCGAGCTAAAATACTGAAAGAAAAAAACAGTATCATAAGAACTCTATATGGTCTATATACACATTGAATAAATATATCTACGTTCTGAAAACTCAGTTTTTTTGAAAGTTGATTATTTCTAAAGCTTAATTTTATTTACATATGCAATTTTATATAGATCATATATGTGTGTGCATACATACATATGCATCTGTAGATAAATCGATAGATCCCAAGATGGTTTGTTTCAACAATACGTGGAATTAAGTTGAAAAAATTCTATAAAAGTCTGGAGGTATTTAATATAGAAGGAGAAATAAAGTTTTAGGATTAAGATCTGTAAGTCAGTTTGTTTATGGGTTTGAATGGAAATGGCATTAGTCCCTAGAAGTGCTCATGTGTATTTTGTCAGTTTTAATCATGTGCTGGTTGTACTATCCCCTTGAGCTAGTGGCTAAAGACAATTCTCTTTCTCAGTAGCTGGTCTAAAAAAGGAACTGGTTGATTAGAAAAGGCTATTCTATTACTTTCTTTACTGATAATGTGAACTTTTTTCTTAATTTTCTGTTAAGTTATAATGTAGTGTATTCTTCTTATGGAACAGTGGTACTTAGGGACTTCTTTCTCCTTTTCACTGATCTCCAAGTATAAAACTTTAAGTTATCAAAGGACTTAGTTCCAAAATATTGTAAGTACTTCCCAACATTTTTTAAAAAATGTATAAAGTGGCATAATTTGTTATTTTCATAAATAAGATCAAGGCTAGGGATGGGAAAATAAACCATCTAGAGCGAGCCAAATAGTATCAACATTCAGATGTGATTAAAGGGCACCATCATTTCGCGTTCCAATGCAAGGTCGTTTCAAGGTGGCATCCGCAGCGACCCAAACTACTCCTTGAAAACGAGTCTTTGAAGGATCTTACAAAAGTAAATAATCTAAGAATCTCCTATTTTAAGAAGAGCCTTTTCTTTTTAGAAAGCTCAGGCTAGGCATTCTATTTGTTCTGCTTCTCTTTGAAGACTGGGTTTCAGATGCAGGGGAATTCCTCTCGATCCTTTATCACTGGGTAACCACCACCATCCAGCTTTGTTTGATGGGTTACAAGGTGTTCCAGAACCTTCCTGAGTGTATGTACTTCACTACCAGAGCTTAACATTTTGAAATCAACATTCTTCACTTAGAGGTTCCGACCGATAAATGAAAAGATAAGAAACTTCATCCATATATTTGGTTTATCCACTATTCAGTCATCTTAAATGAACTACCAGACAAATTTCAAAGCAACCACACCTTCAAGTTAAACTTTATAAGAATAAGCATGTATCTACAAAGGCTTCTTTTAACATTTAAGAAATTCACCCATAATATCCTAATTAATATTGGCAATGCAATATTTTATATCACAATGTTTTAATCTTCGTTGCAAATATAATCTCATTGGATTTTCAGATTCCTAAATTTTTTCTTAGAATGCCAGACTGTATATTTTATAAATAGAGAAATGCACAAATTTCATTAATAACTAATTAGTGTTTTATTCTCACTGCTGGGGAAAAAATATGTTGGAAAGCTTATACCTATAATTTGAAAAATACTTCATGGCTTTATTCCATTCTATAATCTATGCTGTGACTTGCCCAACTTCACGGAGGAAACTTCTCTGTGATGTTAAGTGCCTCGTTTTCAGAAAAAGAACGATAGATAAAGTGCTTTTAAACGACGACTTCCAAAATCCATTACGTATCCTGTTTTCTAACTGATATTTGCAAATAAGGGAAGGCATGTAGTGAGGGATTTCAGAATCACCCTTTGACCCACTCAAATCACATTTCGTGGCATCCTGTATTGTAGGGGCAGCTCAAATGCACATTGATCCTATTTCTGATATTCCTGCTTTAGCATCCAATTCTAACACTTCTGGAAGATAATCATATGATTTTTGTATCATAGGTGTGTTTTTGTGACACGGGTGTCCCAGGGTACTTCATTTGACTTCCAGTAGAAACAAGTCTATGGAAAAGCTAAGCGCTTTGAACCTGTTAACACACAGGGTCCGGCCCAAAGAATGCCCCTTGTGCATTACATAAAAGTCTTTTATCACAAAGTCATGAGCACGTAATTCTGTAACATAACAGTATCGCAGTCAAGCGCACCGTGTGACATTTTAGGTGAAATGTTCACGTTGCTGTCCGTCTCATGCGAGACATTCATGTACCCTACCAACCACACACAGGGGTGTCACTTCTGTGGGGCCCTGCATGTTAGCGATCGTGGTGGTAACGATGCTGGGGTAGTAATAGTGGCGGGGGTAGTAATGACGATAATGGACTTGACCGATCATTCTTTCTCGTCCACGTGATATCCCTGCCCATGAGAAAAGTGAATGTGAAAAGTGACAGTCTTGCATTATTTTATATCTCACAGGCTTTCAAAATCCTTTATTGTGTTTATGCATAATATAGGACTCTGGCCAATAAGAGAACTTCTCTAGACTACCAAGACTTCGGCCACCTGTACCTTATTAAAAATTAAACATATACGGGACTTGCCGGGAGTGTCCCACTGTCCAATAATGGACCGCACGTGCAGTATCACTTTATTTCAGGTACCGAGCAGACGTGCATCCTCAGTCTCCCATAAGATGCTCACGTGGGCCTTGGGACACTGCCTTATTCACCCCCCCACGTGGTGGCGTGCCACCTTTCCCTGCTGTAGGCCACGTGCCCATGACAGGACCCAGACATCCGAAGTTAAGGGCGCGGGGAGGCCCTGCACTCTGACACATACTAAGGCCCTGGGACCGGAGTGCTCAGTGCGTGCGTGAGGTCTCCTCCCGGACACCCGGCTGGAAAGTGCACCTCCAAAACCTCCCCTGAAGACCTTTTTCTTTCCAAACCAAAATCATCCGCCTGGAAAGAACTAAAGCAAAATGTCACCCACCTCCATGTGTATGGCACGTACCGTTCGTTCCAGTCCAGAAACAATCCAGACAGAACTTCGAGTGAATTTACGTAACAGTTCTGTTTTGTTCAAAATACCCAGAATATAGCGATAATATTAAGGTCCACAGAAGAGTATTTTCACTTCGGAAGACGAGGCTTCGTAAACGCCGCCTCCCCAGGTTCATAAGCTCCGCCCCCCGGTTCATAAGCTCCGCCCCCAGGTTCATAAGCTCCGCCTCCCCAGGTTCATAAGCTCCGCCTCCCCAGGTTCACGGGGAAACCTCCATGGCTCAGTGCTGCCGCGGGAAGCAGGAGCACTAAACGTACTCAGGGCCTGAAACGAGGCTTCATGATCGGTTTTCACTCCACATTAATATTATTTCCGAGCCCTTCCGCTGCTAAGCCAATACCTGGGAACCTAGTTTAAAAGAGGTAGTCTGTTGCATTAAATCCGAAGGGTTCGCCGTCTGTCCCTGTAATCTCCATGACACCTTTATTCTGTCATTTGGCGCTTAAGGCCCCTTCCAAACACCAGGAGCACTTCGTTTTCCAGATAACTTTCTAACTGACATGCTAGCGAGCTCATGTATTTAAATCCAGAAAAATACCTCCAAACCGACTCCATAGCCTAACACAACTTTCGTATTCCCTACCATCCCCTTTCCTGCATTTCTCGGTCTGTGTTTTGACGCATTATTATTATTATTTTCTTGGCTTATTTCTTTTTTCCACTTCATACCCCTTGCTCATTTCTAAGTCGGCTTCCGGTGAACCAGGCTCTGCGCCCAGAGCTCCGCCCGGTCCGGAGAACGGAGCGCTCCAGGGGATGGCCCGGGGGTGGCCGTCCCCGACGGCCAGGACCCCGCCAGCACACCCTTTGACCCCGTCGCCGCCTCCTTTTCTGGACAGCTTCTTGGAGGAATTAGAGAAGCTTGGGGCTTTAACCTTAGCAGCCGACCAAGCCACACCCGATATCCTAGAGGAGACCCCCCTTGAAATCAGAGAGGAGCCCTCAGCTCCCCTGCCACCAACTCCGCCTCCGGCATCTGCCCCTGCCAGACCGCCCTCCTCCCGGCCGCCTTTTCCTGGTTCCGATGTGACCTCGGCGACAGCACAACCCTACGAGGCAACGCCACTCCAGGGCCCCAGGAAGACGACTCAGAACAAGTGTGCGGATTTGGCAAAAATGAGAAAAGGCTTTGCAGGCCCCGAAAAGGCGCCCGAAATCCTAGGTGACAGGTGCGTGGCCTCCGCCCACCCTAACGTGGGTCCCTTGCCCCTAACCCTCCCTGCCATCGGAGAGGAAGACGAGGAGATCTGTGAGGGGGCTACGTCAGGCACCCCAAGAGGGCCAGGAGCTCAAGAACCAGATGCCCTGTGGTGGGGCCCCGGCGACCTGGAGGGGACACCATGCCTGCACATTGAAGAGGAGGAAGAGGAGGACAAGGAGAGGAAGTGGGACGGCTTGCAGGGCGCCGCAGCCTCCCTCCCAGGCCCTAGAGCCCCCCAGGAGGACAGCAGTGCAGCTCAAACCCGTCCCGAGGTATTTCAATGTCGCCTGATCCCTGAAGAGCTAACCAGTCTCACTACCACTAGCCAGTCCCGTTAATCGTATTAATCAACACCGCTCTGGAAGTTTCCTGTATAACAAGCACCACAGGAGTCAGGGGCAGAGGGGTGTATGGAAACCCACCACATTTTACTAGGATGGCGTAAATGTATGATAAAATCCCATTGTTTATTTACAACTACAGATTCATATTTAACATTTTTGTCATTTGTCTAATTTTTGAAATTTGACAATGATAGCCAATAGGTGAACCCTTCCTGAGTGTTAGACACTACTCTAAGAACT